ATGAATTCGCAGGCGACGAACGGTGCGTATTGATTGATGCACCACGATAATAGCCAGCCAGCCAGCCTAAACGACTCTGGAATAATTTTCAGCTCCAGGCGGTCGGTACTCAGACACGACATGATCGTTTTTACCGATCGTCGACACCGTTCTTGTTTTCCTTTTCTCCTATTTTATTTTATTTTTTTTTTTATTATTTTTTCCCTCCTCTTTTTTTATTTTTCGGGGCACAACCGACGAAACGGGTGCGTCGGCTGAAGGAAGAAGAAGGGGAGAGACGGTGGTAGAGTATGATGACAGCGGAAAGACACGACCACCATAGAGAGAATGTCGATTTCGTGTTTTAACGAACGCGAGGAAGACACGCGGAATGGACGTTGTCGATATCGTTTTCACGAACGACACGTACGTATAAGTTACGATGATGTGAGGGGCAGATCCATTAGACTATGCAATTGTCCACGTATTGCATTGTCAGCCACCATGGAGATTTCTATTCAGAAATCGCGGAAGTCCCCGGATGCATTGACGAGAGGTAGAGGATGATCGAGGACCGCTCTTGTTGCGAGAAGGAAAGAGACAACGGGAGAGAGACCGGCAGACGTGATCGACAAGGATACTGGTTACTCGTACTTCTCATTTTTTCTCCCTAATTGTCGTGCGTGATATCCCTGTCCACGGAAATCGATCTCGTACCGTAGACACGCGTGCCACTCTGTCACTTTCTGAACCTCGTCTTAATTCTTTTGTTGTTGATCATGTGACCACGTTATTATACTCTACCTTTTGCAACTCTTATTCTTTAACGGGATTATTTTCTCGGATGAGGGGATGTGGAAATTGTTTGTTCTTGGGAGGGTTTTGGGAATTAGGAAGTTGGGACTTTTGGGAATTTGGAGAAGTGGAGGGATTTCGGGAACTTCAGGTCTAAGGGATCTAAGAGATTAAATAAGAACTTCGATCTAACAATAAGAGATTAACTCATTGGGGACGACGATTTATTTTGGAAATGAGAAGATTTTTTTTATTATTCATTTTTAATAAAGAAACTAGTTCACTTAGGGCATTTTTATTGCGAGAGGATTGGACACCATTTGTGTAATACAAGGTAATATGAGGTTTTACCTAGACGACTATTTTATTTAGAATAACTGATAGTTGTTCATTACTACTATTGCACTACGAATGTATGAATGTAAGAATATGAGAATGTAGGAATGTAGGAATGTAGAAATGTAAAAATGTGAGAATGTAAGAATGTAAGAATGTGAGAATGTAAGAATGTGAGAATGTAAGAATATAAGAATGTGAGAATGTAAGAATGTAAGAATGTAAGAATGTGAAAATGTAAGAATGTGAGAATGTAAAAATGTAAGAATGTAAAAGTTTAAGAATTTAACCTTTAAATGGAAATTTAGAGATTTAGGAATTTTGAAACATAGAAATTTTGGGACATCGAAATTTCAGAACATTAGGAAGTTTGAGATATTGAAATTTCAGAACATTAGGAAGTTTGAGACACAAGAATGTAGGGAGCTAGCAATTTCAAGACATAGGAATGTGAAATTCCCATATCCTGAAATTGCTAAATTTCCAAATTCTTATATCCAATATCCCTAGATCTCATAATTCTAATATTCGAAATTCCCTAGATCCCTAAATTCTAATATTTGAAATTCCCTGAATCTCCAAATTCCCATGTTTGAAATTCTCTAGATCTCCAAATTCCCATGCACCGAAATTCCCTAGATCCCCAAATTCCCGTGCACTGAAATTCCTACGTCCCAAAATCCCTAAATCTCCAAATTCCCATGCACCGAAATTTCTTAGGTTTCCAAATTCCCATGTATCGAAATTCCTACGTCCCGAAATCCCTAAATATCCAAATTCCCATGCACCGAAATTCCCTAGATCTCCAAATTCCCATATACCGAAATTTCTTAGATCTCCAAATTCCCATATACCGAAATTTCTTAGATCTCCAAATTCCCATGCACCGAAATTCCTTAGATCCCCAAATTCCCATGCACCGAAATTCCCTATATCCCCAAATTCCCATGTACCGAAATTTCTACGTCCCGAAATCCCTAAATTTCCAAATTCCTATGCACCGAAAATCCCTAGGTCTCCAAATTCCCATGTACCGAAATTCCTGCGTCCCGAAATCCCTAAATCTCCAAATTCCCATATACCGAAATTCCCTAGACCCCCAAAATTCCCATGCACCGAAATTCCCTAGATCTCCAAATTCCCATATCTCAAAATTCTTAAATCTTCAACTTCACAACCCCGAATCCTCCAACCTTGAATCCCCAAGTCCCAAACCCATCCCCCCCTTCTCAACCTAACCTAATCTATCCAATCCACTCCCAACATCCCAAAAACATCGAACGAAACGTTTCGAAACAAATTTCCCATTTTCCTAAAAAAAAACCCAGAAACCTACGGTATTGTGTCCTTCTCCGTATCCTTTCTCTATCAATCAGACATTCGCACAATGGCGACACATTGTGTAATTCAAAATGAATGCAGGCCCCATTCTGTGGGTATAATTGTTTCACGACAGGTCCTCGCACAGCCGGGCATCAGGGCAAAGAAACGGACCGCTGTTTGCGTTTCGAGATCCAACAATGGGGTCTAACGTGTGTAGAAACGGATATCTCGTTACACCGTAATCGAGGAATAATCGATCGCAAAGTTGTAGCACAAGGCAAATTGCTGGGCGTGGTGAGAACGATCCAGGAAACTCGAGAGGGCAAAAGACAAGGGCTGCGTGGCAGAACGAGGAAATCCGAGATTTTTCTTCCTTTCCTCTCGCCCTGAATCCCACCGTTTCACCGACAACGGGGAGAGGGAGGTCAGTCCTTTATTTTTCGCGGTCATGTAAAGAACCTTTTTATTCACGGACCCGCGTTCACCCTCGATCGAGCGACGCGCGTGTGCAACACAGATTTCTATTCGTGGATCCTTCAACCGGATTAATTAGGGGACTTTGATGATGGTTGTAGCGGTTTTGGAATGGCTGGGTCTTTAACACGGAATACGGTAATCGTTCTCTGACTTTAGAAGACGGGATATATATTTTGGATTCAACTTTTGCTACTGGGCTGGTTTTTCTTGGTGATATTATTTATTAGGGATGGTAATTATTCTTTTTGCTCTGACTTTATAAGATGGGATCTACGTTTTTGATGGAACTTTTGGTACTGGGGTGGTTTTTCTTGGTGATATTATTTATTGGGGATGGTAATTATTCTTTTTGCTCTGACTTTGTAAGATGAGATCTACGTTTTTGATGGAACTTTTGGTACTGGGGTGGTTTTACTTGGTGATATTATTTATTGGCGATATTAATATTACTTTTTTGCTCTGACTTTATAAGATAGGATCTACGTTTTTGATGGAACTTTTGGTACTGGGGTAGGTTTTCTTGGTGACATTGTTCATTGAGGATATTAACTATTCTTTTTAATATTAACTTGATAAGTTTTGCAGAAGATTTTTTATTTCATAACAAGGGTGAATTTTTAGCCAGGGTAAAAACATTTGTGGTTGAACTACGATATAAATTATTAAACACAAGGGTTCATCTTTTAATCTGCTAGCGTATAATCACTGAAAAAATATTAAAAGGCTTCAATAATCTGTTCCATTTGTTTTTTCTGTAAATAATTAATTTATAGTTCAAGGGTGTTTGATAATCAATTGCTCCTCAGGTTGAAGTCAAAATTTAAAAATATAAACAAGGGCTGAAATTTGATACTGAAACTATCAAAGACGTCAAATGACAGTCTTATAAGTTTCTTAATATAAGTTACTTTTATTAGGAGGATTTTTTTAAGTTTATATTGATTTTCATTAAAGAAGAATTAATGTGTATATTAATTTATGTTTATTTATTTTTTTATGTTCATTTTTAATTTGAAAGTAAGCGTGGACTTAGCGTTAACGAGGGGACACTGCGACCGTCGGAAAATCGATTTGCACGATTATGAAGAACACCGAAAATTTCAATGAAGAATATTGAAGAAAATAATAATTACAATTATAGTTTCCAATTCTTAATTTCTAATCTCACATCCCTTTCTCAAATTTAAAAATCCTCAAACCCGTAAACTCTGAATCCCTAAATTTCTACAATTCCAAATCCCTAAATTCCCAAATCTCAAATCCCCCAAATTCCTACAACTTCCACCACTAAATTTCCCAAATTTAAAATCCCCCAAATTCCTACAATTTCCACCCCTAAATTCCCCAAACCCTTAAATCTCCAAATCTCTACAATTTCCACCCCTAAATTTCCTAAACCCCTAAATCCCCAAATCTCTACAATTTCCACCCCTAAATTTCCCAAATCCCTAAATCCCCAAATCTCTACAATTTCCACCCCTAAATTTCCCTAATCCCTAAATTCCCAAATCTCTACATTTCCACCCCTAAATTCCCCAAATCCCTAAATCCCCAAATCTCTACATTTCCACCCATAAATTTCCCAAATCCCGAAATCCCCAAATCTCTACAATTTCCACCCCTAAATTTCCCAAATTTAGAATCTCCCAAATTCCTACAATTTCCACCCCTAAATTCTCCAAATCCCTAAATCCCCAAATCTCTACAATTTCCACCCCTAAATTTCCCAAATTTAGAATCTCCCAAATTCCTACAATTTCCACCCCTAAATTCTCCAAATCCCTAAATCCCCAAATTTCTACAATTTCCACCCCTAAATTTCCCAAATTTAGAATCCCCCAAATTCCTACAATTTCCACTCCCAAATTTCCCAAATTTAAAATCCCCTAAATTCCTACAATTTCCACCCTAAATTCCCCAAATCCCTAAATCCCTAAATTCCTACAATTTCCACCTCAAATTCCAAATCCCCAAATTCCCACAATTTCCACCCCCAAATTCCCCAAATCCTCAACACCAAAATCCCAAAACAACCTCCAATAAAACTCAACATTTCTCGTTCACAATTTAATATTTGCACAATCCAAGAATCAATGTAACAGCGTTGGAATAATAACATCGTCGTCCATATCGCAAACTTCCAGTTTCAAAGACTGTTCACTGTCGAACACAACCGGTAACGGTTCGTTGGAATACTGCTTTAAAACATACAGCATGGTTTCGACAATTTGCGAAGGATTCGCGTAGAAGAATTTGTGTTCTCTGTCGGCGGTCTTGTGCTTGTTGTAGGCTTCCTCGATGAAATCGCCGTCAGCAGTGTAGAACAATATCCTAGGCACGTATTTTCCATCGGGTTGGAATTTTTTCTCGTATAGAATCTGCTGGCCATTCAGCTCCACTTTTATCATTACGAACCTAACATTCGATGCTATACTCAATTATTTACCTCTATTAACTTGTCAAATCATCTACAAATATCGCTTTCGTTTTATAGAAACTATTTCTACTTTCTCTTAATCTTAACTATTAAATATTCTCAGTTTAACCTATCGTTACTTTTACAATTATTAAAAACAACAAGATTTAAATATAATTTCAGTGAAGGAACTTTGAGATCCAAAAATTTGTCCGGAAAGTCAGCGACATGTTGAAACTAAGTACGTATGTGTACACACAGTTGTTAAGTAAATTAATTTATATTAAAATAAGCTAAATAAAGTATTTACCTGTCACTGAGATCCATTAATCGCATACAGTTAGCAAATTTTTGCTTCAATTTCCGACACGCGGGACACAAGTCTTTATAAATAAATAAAAGTATTGGTTTCTTGGAAGCCTTCGCTTCCTCGAAGCCATCGTTAAAAGATCTCCACTTGAACAACCGCTCGAAACCAGAAGGAAGCAAAGTATTCGCAACTGTGTCGTTCGCCAAGTTAATAAGATTCAAGGATGTGAGATATCTCAGGTAATGAATCATAACTTCGAAAGAAAATTTCTCATCGTTCTGTCAAACGGGGCAAACAAACGAATCGATTGCGATCGTTCTATATTTTCAATTCTTCATCATTAATATTACAAAATATAAATAATGAAAATAGAAATTTTTAATTGGTTGTAAAAAATGTATTTTGTGTTAAATTCATGTAAAATTGGCGTTCTATTTAATTTTATATAACTTTGAAGATGTGGAAGTGTATTGAAAGAGTTTTCAAATTTAGATTTATGCGCGCGCTTTTCGAAAGCGGTACCACTACCTCTATCTAGCGTCAACGTTAGTACTAGTCAAAGCAAATATTGTTTTTTTTTTAAAGTTAATTATTTTTATGCTTTTCCGACACGTCAAAAATTTTTTCTGACCTAATTAATTAATTACCGAGTCAATTAAGTTAATAAAATTTGTGTTAATTGGATTTTAAAAAAAAAATGAACTAGTGGCGCCATCTCTCCGGCGAACAGGGTGAACTACACACTTTTAGGACAGCACTTTAATTAGTTCCTATTTTCACCGCTAGATTGCGTCTTAATTCTATCTTCTATCACTAGATGGCGTCTTAAGTATTTTATTCCTGAAGTTCGGCGCTTCATGGTTAGATAACGCTAGTACCCTTTTCAGAAACCGCGGGAAAGTATTAATTGTCAAAACTAGTCTAAAGATTTAAAAATACTTTCAACTTTTTATTAAGTTATTTACACTACAATGATCAGTTTATATCTTATTTACAAATGAAGTCTCTGTAATTCTCTATGTAAAATTTAATTATAACAAAAAGTTATTCTACACAAGTTAAAAAAGAAACTTATCGTTGGAAATAAAAATTAAAAATATTTTAATAGCTGTTCAAACTGAATGTTAAAGATGCAGTAGTCATTTTATTCAAATCTGATATAATGTAATTTCTTTCGCATGATTTTATTACATTTTGGTTAAAATAAATCAACATTCTTAAATATAATACATTAACTTACATCAACTTTCTAATCATATTCTCTGTTGTTCCATGTATCCCTGTTAATAATCATTCATCTCAATTTTATAGAACAGAGTCATTTTTCTAGGACGTTCAAAATATGCTTGCACACTTTTACAATGATTATACGGACACATCCATTCCACGTTGATTCATACGATTTAAACAAGATTCAAATTTCAAAGTGCACACTAGCGTTGCTTAAAAAACTGAATCACCATACTCTCTGAGTATACTTGATTAAATTATATGGAATATTAATTACGACTATACCATCGATAGACCTATGTTGCCATATATATTTATATACTTTTCTTTTTATGTGAATATTTAATGCATTAGTATTATCCAATGAGTAATGAAACGTACAAATGGACTGGGCAATTTTAGACTTGCCATTGCACATTTTATTTGCAAAATAGATCTTGCACCATTTATTATCACAATAACGACAGCGTTGTTAATAACGATCAAGGATGCAAGTTTTCTCTTTATGTTCATTTCCCTTGATAGTACTATGCCTTCCATGTACTCGTAAAGCGATCGTAATTGTATGAGGAGCTTCTTCAAAAAAAATACCAACCAAGTATTATACATTGCAATTAGAATGTAGCTACTTCTTGTTATTCGTACGGGAGTATCATTTGTAATAAATGTTTTATGAACTCTGCCAAGCTATGATCCCAATCAGTATGGACAACACGACAACTCCAATGACTACGAGTATACATTTTTTCTTGCGCAATTTGTTTTGATACATACTCGCTTGCCTTACATGGGAAGTAGCTTCATTGACTGATACTTCTGTTCTTTCTACAGAAGCTTCTATAGAATCAATCACTTCTCCTTGATCGTATACTAAAGCACCAAGATCTTTGAAAATCTGATTAATATCGCTAATATTACTCTGTAAAAATAATAATTACAATGTATTTTAAATATCTACAAACCTATAACACATTCTTAAAACTGATATATTTACCTCCAACTCTCTTATGCTTGCCTCCTGTTCTTCTAACATTCGCAAATTTTGTTCCTCTTTTAACTGTTGTTGCTGTGTTTGCTTTTGAGTTCTGCTGTCTTGTAATTCTATCAATGTCTCTTGTTTCTTTTCACCAAATGGAGCAATACCTGCACTTGCTTTAGCTTTTCTAACCATTTCTTTTTCCTTAGAAGCCGCAAGTCTTTGTACTGCCTGAAATTTGATACATGTTAAGTTCCCCATGTTGCTGTTACAATATGATTAAAACAGATTTGTGATGAGTTTACTTGGAAAGAATTTAATGCGCTGGTAAATTCATCTTGAAGACGTTCTCTCTGCATTTTACGTTGTCTCTGTTCCCCAGGACTAGTTGAACCCGAATTATTAGCTAATATAGCTAAATCTCGAAGATGTACACTGGTATCCTTTGCCAGCTGCTGTGTGTAATGCTGGATTTGATGCCTGGAAAAAGTTAACAAATTTAAATTTGATCTAAGACATTTATAAATAAGAACTTACAGTTGATTGCGAAGCTCTTGGGAGTCAGTAGAGCTGCCCAATTGGTTAACCATCTTTTGCATAGAAGATACTGTCGAATACAAACCAAAATTAGTATCAAGTTGCTCGTGCTAAGAAAATTTATGTACTTACCATTCTGAGATATCTTCAGAATCGATGTACCAATTGTTTGTGACAGCCTACCAAAATCTTGCTCCCTTGCTGGACCACCATTGTGGTACGATGAGAATCCAATATCCATATTGTCTTATGTTTTAATTCAACGAGATTTAAAGTACCGAAATATTGTTCACTGTATCAAATAATAACCTCGTCCTTAGAGGTTATTCGTTCACTGGTTAACACATTAAGATAACCATTCTTAATATATTAGAGCAGTAATTTTTTTTTTTAAATATTCGGTTAATAACGTTGGAAACTAATTTTTTAATTTTAAGACTTTGGATATGGTGAACAATCGGGAGAACCAGAAACACGATGACAGTTTAAATGTCAAAGATGGCAAAAGAATGATTATCTGCTACAATTACACTGCTGTCAACAAAAGGAGTAAAAAGATGATTAGCTCGCAAGATGACTCATACAATTACTATCTAAAAATTAATGATTTCTCTGGTACAAACTATACATATCCACCTTTATGTTATTCCTCGAAATGAATCAAGTTCACTGTGAGAAGCTCCAAAACTTCGCGCGAATCGATAAATGAATATAGTTGATGCCACAGCGTACACGTAGCTCTACACCACGACCATATCAAGAATAAATAAATGTCGCTCCTAAAAAATAAACGAGGCCATTACGCATGTGAAATCGTCTTTACTAATATTCGTGAGAAAATTCGAGAATAGATAATACAATATGAAGCACAGAATTCTTCTCATTGTATTTAGGGATATCATTAAACAGCGGTGAAATGAAGAGAAAGGCCTGCGTATAATAAGGTCTTTTATTAGAAACATTTATTACATTTTTCGTGTTTAATTGTTTATAAATTATATTTGTGTCTTATGTGTAGTAATAAATACTTTATTCAAGTCGTCGAATAATCACATTGGTCGTTATTTCTAATTAAAAAATATATACAAAAGTATTTACAAAAAAACAAACGAGTGTTCGTCGCGCCAACAATGCAGCTCACGAGAAAACAAAACTCGTAGTTTTAGAATCAGGGCGGGAAGCTCAATTCATAAAATACTTGAATTATAAATTACAGAAATCGTTACCAGTAAAACCGTCGTATTCGTTTTGTACATAGAACAATTCTTAAAATGTAAGTATAACATTTTGTGCATCGATTACGGACATTAAAAGCGCCGATATCATGTGACAATTAATAAACAGGGATGTGCGAGTAGCTCGATGTGTCGTGTAACCGAGCATTCCTCTCTTTTTTTAATAAAATAAAATATGCAGTCACGATTTCAACAAACATATTACAGTTTGGAAAGCACCAATCTTCATACAATTAAAGTATGAATCTAGAATATTTTATCCTATTTTACTTAATAAAAATAGAAACATTCGCGTAAAAAAGAAATCTACGTTATAAAAAAATAATTATACATATCGAATGAAATTATGATAACATCGATGAGTACATATGAACGAAATAAAATTTAAGATGGTCCAGGTATTTCAAGGCTGAGTTTTGAAATTCACGAGCGTCGCTTTTCAATGGACATCAAAGCCATTCACATTAATGTCATGACTCTGAAAGAACCTACGTTAATAAATATTTTCAACTAACTACTTTGTTTGTTAATCGGACACGGTACATTGTACATTTAATATACAGATGAAACACGTTCTTATCATACACATGCATCGATATAAATAAAGCATTATATCAGTTTTGATTATCTCTCAAATCACTAAGCGTCGACTCATCGACAGAAAACAATTATCATCAGAAATATCTTTTATCGTCAACTATTATTATTATATCGTACTTTCAATGGATTGTGCTCCGTTTTAAGTTTGCATTCTCCAAACATCTCCGTTTAAAAACTTTCTTGCGTTATTTACAATATAAACATTTCAAGTAGTCGAACAAAATAATATGTAGTAATTATGTTTAGCGAGGGTTTTACGTAAAACCACATTTTCTCTGTAAATTGATAGCTTTACGTATTGGCAAACGCTGGTATAGGATATGTTAACACATTGACTGCCATAATTGGGCGACGTTTGTCTTCATAGGAATTCATCACCTGTATCATTAAAGACTTTACCTAATCAGAACTATTCATATTAGGTACTTAAAGTTACGGATAATAAACAGCTTAATATTGAGAAAATGATAGACTTTGTGAAAATAGGAATACTAATAAAATTTTCACAATAAATTAGCAGTCAATGCGTTAAGTGTACAGCACTGTCAATAAAGCTGCTCTTACCACACGTATTGGTCATATAAAATCATTTATCATTTCCTCTTATAAAAAGACGCTATCAAATTTCGTTTCTCGCAATCCATAACAACGCTGCGTATCATACTATCCGTAATTCACTGCAAACTCGATTACGTTTCCAATAAGTTGAGGTATTCCACATAGTACCGTAGCTGTTAACTACGTTTCTGTAGGTCAGTTCTTTGGTCTTTCAAAGTTTCTTTGGTTTCTCTTCTGTCCATTTTGTGTATTTCTCTAGATACCTAATATTTCACTTTGCACATAAACTCTTGGCCATCAAGTGTACACAATAACCAAGGCTACAAATTGATTCGCGAAGAATTAATTTAGTCCTCTGATCACAGACTAGTTTCTTCGATGGAAGTCGTTCTCTCCAGCTGCCGTTCCTCATCGATGCCCACGAAATACGTCGTGACATATCCTTTCGGTTTAACATACGTATTTCCTCGAAGATGACATTTAATGCCCTGCTGTTCAAGAACGGCAGCGGTTTCTGCCGTAACCTGTATAAGCAATGAGTGAGAATTATTTTGTTCGATATTCATTGTCAAGCAATGATAATATTCATCGAACCTGTATTTTCCCTGGAACCCCCGTTGTGTCCATTCTTGACGCCATATTAACAGCATCTCCCCAAATATCATATAGTGGTTTCTGAGCACCCACTACACCGGCCGTCACCTCTCCATGTGATATACCAATCCTTAATCTAAAAAATTGTTCTTCGTAAACGATTAAGGTTTCAAGAGTAAGCGTGTTACGGAAAAGTAGTACACACTTATACGGTTTGCATCTATAAAAAGATCTGCCATTTAATTTACTGAGGACTCCCATCATTTCAACCGCGAACTGGGCCATTACTTTTACCACATTTTCGCTGCAACTTTCTTCACTTTCTGTGCTGCGCATTGAATCACGTCGACTCGCTTCTAATCCGCAAGCTGCCATATACGTTGTACCTAAACAAAGTATAAAATAACAAAGTCCTCATAACTAAGAATTGATAATATACCTAAGTAATTATTTACCAGCAATCTTAATCTTTTCTATCCGACAAAGAAAGTACGGTTCAAATAACAATTTGTCGAATTCACATATGATTTCGTTCAAATCCATCAACACGTTCCTTCCATCAATGGATACGTCCGTCAATGAAGCAAACATGACAGCAACGTTGTTGTGAGCTTCATGGTACGGCTCGTTCTCCTCGCTTCTATTCATGTTTAAGTAGAATTCCGCTGTATAAAATTGATGTAAGATATAATTGCATTGATCATTTTCAATGTGTAAGCGTTATTTAAGTCTGGACATACCAACATGTTCTGGCAAAATATTACGAAGTAACAATTTATTGGCATTTCTTGTTTGAAACGCTTCATCCTGCTCTTCAGTTAATTGACGCTTCCATAGATAATCTAATCTGCTCAAGTATTCTGCCTGAATAAATTGGGGGGAAAGTTTAGATACACTCATCGAGAATTATTGAGTACACCACGAATACTTAACGTGAGAAAACTCACCTGACGATCAATAAGGTGCAAAGCAAAGGTGAGAAAAATAACGCTTAAAATGTGAGCCAGCTGTGGTTCTAGATGTGGATTCCATCTTTCACTTGACTGTGAAACAATGAATTGCAGATTAATTTCTACTGGCGCTCTAACGTCGAAAGTTAAAAATAGAGTTACCCGAAACAAATTCGAACGATGCACCCAAACATTCCACGAGTAAAACGCCACAACCGCGATGCCTATCACTAGTTTTAAGAGGTAATGGAGTCTCAGAAACAAGAAACTTGTTAGAATCGCCAGGGAACATGTCTGTGTCATTTGCTAGAAACGATTGCATATTAAAAGTATCATCTCGATCGCTTATGAAATTGAGCTAAACAAAAATCTACAATAACACAAGTACCTACTAAATAATCTTACCCAGGGTGTAGCTACGCATTCGAGCTTAGAAGCACCAGGATCTGCTATGCTAGCCGTTATGTTGTTGCTTGTAAGATCGTCCACATTCTTACATTCAAACTGAAATCATACAATTACTGAATGACAAGTTTTTCTAATAGTTATTTTTTATAATGCAATCAACTTACAATCATATCGAACATAGCACAAGCTGCTAACATTATCGTTATTACTAGATACAATATTGTTCTAAGAAAGGTGCTCCATACAACCTGAAATTGAACATAAAAAGTACATTAAATAACTTGAAAATCACGTGAAAAATGAAAAAGATTAATATAATATAAAATACCTTGACACTAGTTTGATACAAAAAACACAATAATTTATTACGAGGATGCGGAACATGTCCTTCGTGTTCATCGTGTGGATCCTTATACCGATTCCACGCGAAGTGCATCCAAACGATTGGTATTAACGCAATCAAGAATAATATTGCGACCGAGTAACTGATGGTTGTACTTAAATGCCATCTGAAAGATGATTACACGTCTCCGTGATGTAATATCCCTAATTACCTTTATTAATAAATTGTCTTATAAATAGAACATACTCAGAGGCAGAAGCTGCCGGTACTAAGTAAATGAGTCCCATGAAGATCAGAACAAAAACAGCAGAGCTGAGATAAAATTTGAAGAGAGGATCAGGTTCCTTTAGGAACGGTATCTCCCAGTTCCACTTTTTGAACGTCAAGAATAATGGATTTATGTGTTCCCATCTGCACCATTGTCTGAAAAGTTATTTTTAAAATCATTTTAAGTTTAGTATATAACTACTAGGTTCATCCTAGGCACTCCTTAAACTATCACTAGCTTTTCCTACATTGTTCTTGGGTCTTTAAAGGATTTTCACAAAGTTACAGCTTTTAGAACCTTTATGTATTATTAGTTAGAGGAAGTTTACCGAGTTGCCCAGGTCATTAACACAAGAGTGAAATCATCCGGTGATAGTACTTACTCCCACTTAGTGAGAGGCATTTGCTTAATAGCGTTCTCCATCTCTGCATCTGCGGCTCTCAGCATCAGATGATAATCTCGCAAACAGGAGTCCATAAAGTGTGTACGCCGTCTATAAGTACCGGCGAACACGTCAACATGGTTATTTATAGTGGGAGTGAGCCGTCTGCTGTTTCTCGAGCTTGAGCTGTTACTGGTACGGACATTACTGAACCTCACGTAATGTTTGTTAGCCACCGGTGGGGTGTCCGGGCTTATGACTGTCAAGGTGTTCTCGCTGTTCTGCAACAAGGTTCGCCTGTCAACGACGCGAAATACTTGACGAAAGTTCGTTCAACAATTAATGATAATAACAGTGGCGTAGGAACAGCTCGAGTGTGAACGTTGAAAAGGTAAATTTCCGCGGGCTTCCTACGCCACTGGGAAATACGCACCTGCGAAATAGGCGCGTCGGGAGGGATCGAAGGTGTGATCAGATAGCTGCGTATTCCATATTTCTTCAGGATCTCGTCGTTTATGACGTCAACAGGTACGCAATCGTACTCACTGGCGTCCACCAGATCCAACGTTTGCTGTGTAACGTGCACTTTGCCTGGTTCTCCTGTTTGCTCCATTTTATTAGCTATGACGACATCGCGTGACCACACGTCATACTGCCATTTGTTAGCACCCAGAATTCCTGATATTATGTTGCCCGAATGGACTCCTATTCTCATATTTACGTCCACTCCGCATTCACGGCGTACCCTCGCTCGCACCTCCTTGATGATCTTGATCATATCGAGTCCTGCAATTTACACGAATTAAATTGTTAACATGTTCACTATCGCAGGAGTCATCAATGATTGATAGTAGTAGATTTTTAACAGTTCTCAACTTAGATTAAAATCCTTAATATTCTTGAAGGACCATAATGCCACGTGCGGTATTAGACATAGTTATTTCTATCATAGCAGTGAACTAGTCGAACTGTACTCGTGTACGTCAAAGTATATTTACCTAAATCCACGCAATTTTTCGCATGCTGTGAATTCGGTGTTGGTACACCACTGACGCAATAGTAACAGTCACCCAGGAACTTGATTCGCAAAACATTGTGCCTTTCGGAAGCCTCGTCGAAACTACCAAATAAGTCGTTCAACGTCTCCACTAATTTTCGTACAGGCAACGTCACGGTCAGTCCAGAAAAGTTCACAACGTCGGCGTACAATATGCTCACGTTGTCGTGCTTCTCGACGCATAAGTCACTGCAGAACGAACGATAACATTCATACACGATTTTATCTGATTTCATAGCTAACAAAAATAAACGTACTTATGCGGTCGTCCTTTCGGCGGAGGCTTCTTGTGCTCCTCTATAAATTTAAAAATATCTCGAAAATCTTTCTTGATCTTCGCAGCTATATGTTGCGGTAGTATGCTGCGCGTAAGTTGCTCCTGCAAATATTTGCACCAGATGGTAAGTAAAGTTTTGTTACAATAAAATGTAGTAATAAAAATAAACGTACTTCTTGATCTTTTTCGTAGTTCAGTCGTAATGTCGACTCGACGCATTTCCGGCGATCGAGGAAGGACCGTCTGATGACCACTTCGTTCATGAATCTGAAGTATAATCCTAGCCCGTTCACGCAAACAAAATATATCGTGTCGGTGATAATCTGTACGAAAATAAAAACACTGCGATCGTATCGATTGATTACATCGTAGCTCGAAATAATCCAGGAATCACATTTCTGGATACAAAGTTGAATCCATAGAGGTATTACTGTCTTCGAAGATTACCGGTCAGGAGCGTATATTTCTATAAAAGAGGAATATGTGTGACATCTAGATTTATAAACTTTTATATCCCCAGACACCTATACTCTTATATTTCTATATGCTGGTAGTTCTAATTTGTGTTACAATCATGACCTTGATAGATTCAATTGCACCAGGTGAGTAATTATTTCGAGCAACACGTCATCTCATTTGTTCAGATGTTTTTGAACGCGTACTGCGTCAACGAACCGCAAGTGAATTTACCTTCGTCGAAAAATCGAACGTGTTTCTGTACGTGATTAACGATAGAGTGACCAGGTAACATATGGTGGCTGTAACACCTAGTATGAAAGCGTGCAGATTTTCCGTGAGAGGTAGGAAGACGTAACAAGCGAGAAGCGCGTGTGTTGCGTACGCTGGCCTGTAAAAAGAAACGCAGTTAAACAGGCGCTATGTGTGCGTAGTTTCGCGTGGTATAAACACGTACATATGCAATAAATTCACGGCTATAGGCTCATTAGCGGAAAAGGATAAAACGACTAGCAATTAGTCGATTACTAGGCTCGATTTAATCATCAAAATTACACGTTTCTAATCTGTATCGATCTCTAATTACCACTTGCGTGTAAGGGTCATGAAAAACAAAAGTAATGCGCAATAATATCCAGATTCAACATGGAATCAATTCATTAGCTTGTCTCATTTAAACACCTAGAGATCATTCTATTCTAAATATCAACTTATCCGGCGTTTAATTGAACGTAATTCACCGAAATTACAATTTGCAATTCATGTAAACATAAACGGAGAAACGCGGAAACTCGTCGTATAATGTCAAAACAAATACATTAATGTATCTCATCGGAGTAACGAGGAATAACAATGTTACACAGAATTTCTACGTAATTAGCCCGATATTAGAATTTGCAATTCGTGTAAAGCAGAAAATCTAACCGCGATAATATCTCACGGGACTGGGAGCATAATATCGGTAAGTGGTTCGCCAGTCTTTCGTAATTGCGGTTTTAGAGGAAGTAAATCGAAGCTATCGGTCCGAGACGACGAGAAAACGAACAAGGACAATGATAATTAAACGTCGTCCTTGTGCGATTAACCCTCCGTTTACAAGTACTGGGTCACTTTTGTCACAAGGTTACTACGGAAAGTCTGTTTATAACGTACTGATACAATGCACTTCACGGACAATATTCACGATTATAATGAATAACATTCAGGATATAGTTGAATTAAATAGTGATATAAAATCTGGTTCGGTCACTGGATACAATAGTCAAAAGTGTGCAGTTACCACGCGGTTAATTAGCTCGCGTTCAATTATCGAGCGATTAGTTACCACACGTTCAATTACCACGCCTCACACTTCGACGCGTTACATTATTACCCGTTACACTTCAACGCGTTATATTACCACGTACTTTGGCACATTATTACGCATTACGTTATCGCTAGTATTATCACGTGTCGCATTGTCGCACGTTATATTTCCATGAATTGTAATAATGCATTGTATCGCAACAAATTGAACCGCGATGCATTTCGCTACAAATAAGCCATGAATTGTATTGGCATATGTCACCGCGTGTTGTTTCGCCTTAGTAAACCTTTCGCCTAAGTGATCGTTACCTTATCGGTGAAACATCGCCGTTGCTGACAAGAGTGTAGTACAACGGCACCGCTAAATCACCGATCACTAACAACATGACGATCAGACAGGACAATATAACGGACAGATAGTTGTTTCTGGAGATGAGTTTCGATCTGAATGAGAGAGCGATCACAGGACACAGCAACGCGCTCATCACGCTGCAAACCACCACGTCCGGCACACAGTTCTCGATGTTGACCTGGAGAAAAATTGGGTCACGCGTTAAAACACTTGGGGATATATTTTTGGCGATAGGAAATACATATACATATTGTTATAGGCAGCGTACTGGCGATTTTCATGTACACCGGCCGGCTCTATTAATAGGAACGAAATGACCAGCCGCTCCTTACCAATAGAAAGATTATCGATTCAATAGGAATTGCAATTGTGACGTGACCGAGGAAAAATACACGTATATCGAACGATTTCAATTGTGTAACGAGTGTTACGAGTGATTGAACATGATATTCTGGAATCGGTAGCTTCTTGAAACGAGAGAGATACGTCTCAGGAATAAATTCCTTTAAATAGTCTTACATCGAATCTAATTTTAATTTAATGAATTACAAAATTGATCGAACTATTTTGGAATAACTGTAACTGTTTTAATTATGGTAATGAAAGGGATGCAACCCTCGGATGACGGACGAATCGTGGACCCACACTTATCAGGAGGGTACAACGGTACATCGACTAAAATTAAGCACCCAATTTTCCGAACGAAGGACTTTTATATATTGACAAATTAATATTTAAATAAACAACATATATTTAGAAAATGAGTATGAAAATTATATTTAAATTCTAGATCACATTCAGGGGTGCGAAAGGTTTCGCCATCCGAGGGTTATGACACGAAACTTTTTATTAACAGAATATTAGCCTAACTTTAACTAGGACACAATTAGATATTATTAAAAATGCTATAATACATTATAATGAAATTAAACTCTTCTTAGAATTTTTAAATTTAGTTCCACAGACGGTTTTCTACGATATCATTCAGTTAAATTAATGTGCTCTACAGCATTTAAAGAATTTAAGATATTACAGAAGATTACATCCATTCTCAGATAATTATATCTATACACGTTAAATCTAGTATACCGTTGTGACCACTATAATTCCAAGAAGGGCAAAAATGAAAAAACGTAAAATAAAAAACCATCGTACATTATGAACTAATTAATTAGATAACTGACTTCATAAATTAGTTATGTACACGCCATTTTCCTGGTAGCAATTCCTCTACCATAGAAATTCTTCCATTTTCATGCTAAAAAACTTTTGCGGTACGTAAACAATGTTTAACATGACATCTATTGTTTGTCACTCATAGTATTTTACAACTCGCAATGTAGTTTACAATTTACTAACAATATTATCTAGTGTCTTTTACAAAATTTAAATATTTATCATTATTTGTTACTGCATCCATAAAGTTTCTTGGAACTCGTATAATGAAAAGACAAGTAGGACTGTATACACCTGATACTTTCTACATTTGCTGTATACTTCCTAACCGACCGTTTTCACCGAAGGTACGCCGCTTCGTGTTTCACTTCGCTTACCATTGTAACCAGAATCAAACAATGCGTGGCTCCGAGGACCAATTGCAGCAGAACGAAGAGCGACAGATAACCATACTGAAGCCTTCTCTGGTAAACCGTGAACAGCTTCTCTAGGCTCTTGTATTTGAACTGTTTCTGAAAGTGAAAGCCCACGTGAGATTATGTATTCGACGTGTGACCGGTGATGTTTGAACTTTCTAGACAGAGTTAACGTTAACGACGACGATCACGTGTATCGATCGTGTTAATTGATTTTACAGCTAACCGTCCGGACGTCTAAAAGCCGCATATCGTTTAACAAAAATCCATTTTAACTGTTTGCGCTTTAAGTACCTTCCGGGCATAGATAACAATAATATGTAGTTATTCCTCAGGGACGAATTAAGATGTTCACGCACCCCAAACAATTTACAGATTTTACTGCTTTTTAATTGATTCGAGTCATATTTACTGACACGAGGATTTTGAGGGCTTGGAAGCTTTTTTGGACTCTAGAATTTTGGGATTTTTGAACTTTGAAATTTTAGAGACAGAGATTTTACAAATTAGAATTTTTTAATTTTTAGACTTTGAAGTTTTGAGACTTTAAGGTTTTGCAATCATGCACATTTGAGATTTGGGAGTTTGAGATTTCAAAATTTTTGAATGTTTAACTTTAAAAACTTGACACTTTGTGACTGAATGTTTGAATACTTAACTTTAAAAACTTGACACTTTGTGACTGAATGTTTGAATACTTAATTTTAGCAACTTGACACTTTGGGACATCAAATATACCACATAAAATTTGCTAGCCCCCACCCTGAGTCACCCCTACTCATCCCAAGCACGTGCTTATTTCACCCACTGCTTAATCCATCCCTGCCGCTAATTAAAATGAATTCTCCAGGTAGCACTGAGTTTCTACTAATTACAATTACTAATATTCCAACGTTTCGTTAAGAACGAGATAACCGCTTTACTACTAACGCTCGCTCGATGCATTTTCTAGATAGTGACAATTTCATATTCAACTTAGCTATTTTATTCCTAAAATTAATACCGGCTGATAAATAAATGTAAAACGATTTCGATACATCTACGCCTTTCTGTACCCTCAAGCTCTCACAATTTAGCAAAAAAACTAATTTTCATATAAATGTATATTGCAATGACACGTGCTTCTTTACTCGATATCAACTGAGTTTCGACTCGTTCAAAGCAATTAACTTTGCAAAATATTATTGCTGCATATCTTCGTTTTCTTAACATTTTTTTTGCACATTAATCAAGTGGCATGTTTGACAAGTTGGCAGCCGGAAACAATGCGGATATTATAGTCTCGCGTGCCAACTTACCAGACGTGTACTTTCTACATTACGAAAGATGCTCGAAAAGTGGAGTTAATCCCTTTGACCGACGAACGACTCAATTATGAACCTCAGAACGTACCTGCCACGATGCTTCTTCGGCCAAGTATGAAACGCAAACTCAAAACACACGGTTGAAAAGTAAGAAAAATCGTACAAGAAAAATACACAGTATCAAGTGTTTGAAAGTATACGCAGTCAAAAATAGCGTACTGTTTGAAAAGCCGAGTAGTCGAGTGGGCGCGATCGTTCGGTTATCAATCGCTCGAAATAAAAGCTATCCGTCCATTACAGGAAGAAAAAGGATCACTCTGAACTGCCACCAATAAAATGTTCTTCTAACGCAACAATTTCTCACACGTGCACAATGTTTACATTCGTCGTATAACAAGAATTAACACGGACAATTCGGAACGGTACAAACAACGTTTCACAGAGATGATCGACGAGCAACTGATCGCGATCCGGCTCGAAACGAAGGAAACATCCTTCGACGTTTCCTACGCGACGACCAATATGGAATCATATGCAGTTGCGTCATTGAGAAATACACCATTCGCTCGATATTTGTCGCGAAAAAAAGGGAGAACAACCGTCGGAGATGCGAGGAATTATCACAGTAGACACCTTGCGACACCGAGTAGTCACGAGACGACGGCTCGTTTTGTTTCGCGAACGAACGATATTTATAAGTTACACGAGAAACAGGAAAGGCTAATTATGTATCACACCGAATAGCCTTATCCCATTGATAAGGAGGTCGACAGGAAACCCCGCGCGAGTTCCCAGCGTGCTTGTATCTCCGCCAGTCACCGGCGGTCTGATGCAAAATCGGCGCCGAGCTGCGGCTCGTTAAACCACGATAAAAATCGTAGCCAGTGTATCGTGGGGCGCAGCCGCGCCTTACAGCCCTGACTTCTTTTTTACAAACGGTTTTACAGACGACAACAGAACGGAACCTGGTTCTTTCGTTTTCAACGAGAGCCGACCAAGGAATAGGTACATCTGCGGTGACGCGTTCCGCGCGTGCGTTTTCCTACGCTCGGTGCAGCTCGTGGCTGCGAACCTTTCGGTCCGGCGAATATTGATCTTCAATCTCGAACACGGGCCCGAACGACCACCTTCTCTTTCCTACGTACCTTTTACTCGAGTAATCGCCGCGAACGAATTATGCATGAATCCCTGCCTGATTTGTAATTCGTGCCGGCAAGCGGGTGCACGGATGGATTCGGCATTACGCAAAATAAGCACGTGCTTCGGGTATCGAGGGTACCGGTACCTCTGAAATTTTCTCTCCGAGGATTCTCTGTGGTTTATATTCGTTCAAGCCTCGAGGTTACGAAATTTTACGCTTTTTAAGTTCCAAGAATTTTCATGAAGTCTTCACGTTCAAAATTTCTAAAATTAAATTCAGGTATTAACATTTCAAATTTCTGCAAACTCAAAGCTCGAACATTTTACAATTCATGAGTTTCGCATTCTAAGAGAACCCTAAGATAATAAAGTTACAAAGTCCTTAAACTTCAAAATTTGTAAAATCCTAAATTCCCAAAGTCTCAAACTCCTAAATTAAATATCAATGCCCAAAATTGCAACGTATTCTTAAGAATGTTGGGCCTGTAGAGGTCTTAGTCCGACCCTGAATGTACATATAACAGTGTAAGCAGGTTGTTGGTTGCCTCGGTTCATCCGGAAGTATACGAAGAGATACTGAAGGTTGAGCGGTTTTCGGGAAGAGATAATCCTTGATGAGTGGTTGAGAAAGTGAAAGGACGAAGATGGATGAATGACTTGTTAACAGGTTTGATGATAGGAGTAATCGTAGTCAGCTGCTTCTGGTTGCCTGTCGTATATAAAAAGGCGACAATTAGGAATCTATATATACACTGTTATATAAACAGAAAAAACTTGTAAATTTGTTTGTTTGTACACAATGATGTGGAAGTCTGCTGAACTAACCTTGATGATACTTTCACGGCTTACTTTTTTGTAGTTTGTAAATTGGTCATAGGCTATCTCATTATCATTAGGAAAGACAGATTATCGTGTTGAATCAAATGTTTACATTAACATTGCAGAATCGTGTTTTTTGTGAAGTATGAGTTCATAGTATTTTTTTTAATGTTTTCCAAACTGATTACGCACGAACTTAGAACTTTTTTTTTACTCATTTACGGTTTTCCTGTAAATATCGAGGATCAGAAAGTCGGCGTCGTGATTAAACTTCGATTAGAATATGATTTCGAAAATCAAATACGATGGAATATTTTTGGCTGATCTATATCTCAATACTAATTTATACATCACACAATTTCACATTGTTTTTTCCTAACTCGATTAGATAAGCTTCCGTATATCTAAATACGAAGTTAATAAAACTAAATAAATCTCGTAATGAAACAGGAGCAAACATTAAATCAATGCAAACATTTTATCGAAGTAAAAATGATTTCTTAACAAACAATCGCGCGAATTGCACAATACGATATCCTTGATTCACTTTAGCCAGAAGAAATCAGCACAAATATTTTGTCTCGTTTTTGACCGCGGCACAGTTAATCTAGACGCATTGTCAGCGATAACTTTCAAATAAAAGATATACCGGGTGGCTAAAATTCCGCGGATCGAAAACCAATTAACATCTTACATTTACAAAAAAGGAAGGCTACTTATCGAAATGTACCGAATTCTCCCTTGTGTAATATTACAGAACTAAAAGTGTAACTGAGAAGAGATACTAGATATGAAGCATTTTTATAAAAGTAGGTTTTTCAAAAAATTCATCAAGTAATTTCCTAGCGCCAGTTTAAAGATTTCAAGCGGCACGCTATCAATTCACTTCGGATTACGCCGAAGGACGTGAACGAGATTGAATAATATTTTTTTTCTATTGCGCTTATCGAACATTTGTTGATACCAGCCTGATACTGCAACAAATAGACTATTCACGCGATCGTTGGTCGCTAAAAAATCGAAACTTTTCCGTGTAATCGAATTATCGGCGAGGAAAAAGGCGATATAACATCGGACTACTCTTCAGATTCTTCGTCGAACGAGCAAGTGTAGTTAAAAGTTGTTGAGAGATCCACCTCGATAGATAACTCGCCGATAATCCAATTGCAATTTCACGGAAATCTTCGTGGTATTGCCAGATAGCAGTTCTTCTCGTGTACTAAGCGCGCCTTCCTCGCGGTCTCCTCTTCCTTATAATTTAATTATCATTCGAGCTGGGATGTTTTTCAAAACGTGCGAACCACCACTAAACGAGCTGAAACGTTTATCTATGATTAGAACCGTGCAAAAACGAGAAGTCGTCGCGTTTACGTTGTACAGGAAAATAGTAGATAACTGTATCCAGTATATTTATACTATAAAAATAACATATCTCTGTATCCCTGTATTCTAGATCAATTGTGATGAACCGGTGCAACTTCTCAAGAAAATTTTTATAACGCCTCCACGTTTCAATATAGGTACCATTTTACATCCTCTAGAATTTCTACACCCCCAAAATTTCTACATCCCTCTGTGTCGCTAGAATCCTTACATCTCTGGAATCTATAGAGTCCTAGTACCTCAATATTTCTAGATCTCTGTGACTGTAGAGCACAATGATTAATATTGAGCTACGGGATTAACTCTTTGAAGCACGGTAACAGAAAAGATATACAATTTTTAAGCGAATATAGAATTATTGCATAACAGTGTTTGTGTGCATACTGGGTGTATCAAATATTCAACTATGTTCGAGTGCTCAATATAAAATAAGTTTGTGGAAAATATATTAGGAAGAACATTATGTCGCTCAAGAAGATAATCTTCCTTGAAACAGTATCAAATTAAGTAATAAACGGTTGATTCATCAAGTTCTAGCTATCAATTTTATGCTTTTATGCTTGCGGTCTTTACGATTATTACAGGATAGACACCGCGTCGAAAGAGTTGGGTATGTAACTTAAGTAAAGCAATAAAAATGTTACATATCTGTAATTCTTTTAACAGATGAATTGTTACAAAATTTAACTTTGGTCTCTTCAATAGATCTCTATTGAAAGATCAAACTGAACAATTAAAATAAAATATAAAAATAAAAGGGAGCACCCTTGAAACACTCTTTTCACATACATCCAAAGAAAACAATACTCCAATTCAGAACATAACTGTTATCTTCCAGAATAATTCCTTCCTTCAAGAAGAATAACTCCTCACTCAATGCATTCCACAAAAAGTCCAAAGCATACATCATCTAAACTGCTACAGGTAAAGCGAAAACTTGCGTCAACGTCCACTTCAAACTCCCCATCCGAAGAACACATTCAAACAGTTAGAATCCAAGATAAAGTGTTTATTGGCTAAAAAGCATGCAAATAAGGTGTAACTCACTCTCAAGCTGGACCAGGTCCACTCATCAAGACTGTTGGGCGAGACGATTCGGCCATCGCCCTCCACCTGAAGAGAATTCAAGGATGCCCGGGTGACTAGTTCGACATCCATTGTTTCCCGAAAGACTATTAACAGAGGCTGGGCCGATCAGAAGGACTCGAGCGACGACCACGTAGGCGATGTCGGTGACCACAACGACAACTTCACCGCTGTTCGATCCATCGCGGCTACGATCCACGGCCAGACTGATCGTACGTGGAAATGACTCACCCTGAAGCGGCTCACGCCTCGACTGGCCGCGCTTCGTGTGCTTCTGTCGTGTCGCTTCTAAAACACTACCGTGTTAGAGCACCGCTTTATCGTGATAAGGGAAATGGGCCACTCTAAGCGCCCCTTCTCTCTCCCTTCTCGAGCTTGTTTCCCTGTTGTTCACCACAATGGGATGCCCCGACCGTACGGTCACTTTTCCAACCTTTCAACGTCCCAGAAGAGCGTCACAGTTATGAGAGGTTTATCTACCTGACGTCTAAGATCGCGCTAGCTTTTTCATTATGTGGCTGCTTCCTTTTTGAAGAGTGGTCGTCACCGGTTTCTTCGAATTCCGCGAAGGCTGACGGTCAGTTCTAGCCTTGGACGATTATTCGGACCTGAAATTATAAGGAGATACGCTGTTAGTTTCATGCGAAAAGGCACGACTGAGGATTATAGATTTGGAAACTTGGTAGCTTTGGAACTTTGGGTACTTAGGAATTTGTGGATTCAGACATGTGGAAATTTGGATATTTGTGCAATAAAAAAAAACACTACTTCCACATAAGCTCTCAAGAAAAGTATTTCAAGAACGCTCCAATTACCAAACCTGCAAATCATTCTAATTACTCTTCACAACTATATAAGTACTTTTACCAAATTGGAGAACACTCAGTCAGCAACATATATCCAGAACCCGACTCACTTAATTTCACATTGCTTATCTACCTTCCTATAATTCCTCAAAATCTTCATTATCGTCTAAAATTACGTGGACTTATTAGTGAACGTGATTTAATATACAGAATAAATAGAGTGTAAAAATGAAAAGTTAATGGGATTCATGCTGGATGACTTTCTCTGTCGAATTCACGCTCGATGCGTTCCGTTATAACCGGTTCACGAATCAGAGACACGTTTCTTGGAAATATCAACGACCCAACAACTTTCATGAAAGATGCTCAGTCGCACCTATGATTCATTCCCGCCGATCTTGATCCATACGGCCCTATTCTCGTAATTTCTTGACATTGAGATATCGATCGGATCGGCCATGAAGTTTTGTACAAAGGCACGCAGCTGATGTGAATCTTAAAACGTTCTTAGATACATTACAAATTAGATATACTTGAAGAAACAAAAGAAATCTATTATCATTTACGATATGCGAAGAACAAGTTCATAAATGTTCTCGTGTTTCCAATCACCATCATCGAGCGTGAAAGTGACATTTACGAGCGGCAACAGCTTGATCATTGTGTCCGATGGTGTCACGCCTGAGTACTCCTCGCTACCGGAAATAATGTGTGCATCCATGAATTAAACCCTTGTCAATAAGCGTGAACGTGCTTTAGCAGCAAACTGTTTCGCTCGTGGCAATCAAACATCAAACAACAACTTCATAGACGATTAGTGAACTGATTCTTGAAGGGTCATTTGAATTAGCTTCGATATACATTTAAGGATTCTTATTATATTGATAATAACATCTTTAGGGTCTTTAGATTTCTAACTGTAGATTTCTTGAAGTATTTGGAAACCTTTGTAGGAACATCTAAAATTAAGAATAATCGGTATTAGTAGGTACTCAGGGGAAATATACTGAGATATCAAATTAAACAAATTTTAGGATTTAGAAACTTTAGGAATGTAATGAAGCAAAAATATAAAAGCAACTGCTCAACTTCCCAAATTAAAATACTGTCTATCTGTAGGTGACTACAAGCGCACGTCACTCGCACATCCCATCATGGTCTATTACTATCACGCGCGATGCATCAGAAATTATGCACGATGACTTCAAAACATGGAGGCCTCCCACCGCGTTTCCATCCAGACGCACATATTTTAATCGTCGAATCTTAATTGCATCCTGCTTTTGCTTCTTCGCATGCAAGGGACGGCGTGAACACTTCATAACACGCATCCTTCCGGATCGTTTTAGCGGCCAAAAGCAACAGATCCATTAGGCTAACGACTCCCGAAGAAAGGACTACTAATCGTCTCGTTCGGAACGCTTTGCTCTTGGCAGGTAAAGTATACAAGACAACACGAATCGATTATACTGTTTAAAGTGTATAAGAATTTCATTTGCTCGTGCAACCTTGTATACATTTAAATATTTGCCAATATTCTATGCAAGCACTCGTTCAACTTACTGCCACGTTAAATACACCACATCTTGATGTTTCTTCAGCAACTATCTACGAACACGATCATCCAATTACTTTGTTCTTTATGTAAATCACATACGCGATGAAATTTGTCAGAAAGATCGAACTTTAGATAGGAGATGATGATCGACTGATAGACATTGTTAGACTAAGAATCAAATGACAGAGCATTCGACTGAATCATGCAATTGATCGAACCTTGTGATTAATTACCGTACAGAAAAAGAGTCTGTCTCTCCCTCTTTCTCTGCAATTTTATGAGAGAAAGGTGGGAGGCGCAAAAAAACTGTTACGACACCGAGACGTGGATAATCTGTTCGCTCGGTCGGTGATTAGCAACGCGATGATACGAAGGAACGTTTAATCCTATCATTTAGTGATTGCTGCAGTGTCCTTCAGACGTGTGCAAGTTCATCTTATAAAATAGAGCAGCGATCAAATAGAATGCAATGAAACCTTTAACCCTTTGACTGCGGAAAATGTATCCATACGCTATCATGTGGCTATTAGTATGTATGAAAGGCCTACATATATCTTCGATACATCCTGCAATAAATATTGAGACTCTTATCATTGTAAAAGTTCTAAATTTGATAATGCAACGCGTGGTGATACGATCCGTGGCCATAAAAAAATCGCGACGTAATGCGTAGTAATAGGTGGCGATACAACGCGTGATAATACAATGATACAACGCTAAAAATTTTGGATACGCCGCAAATTTAGGAATCTGAGAAAAATTGTCTAAATTAAAAATTGTTTAAGTTTGCTTAAAATACGTCGTAGTCAATGGGTTAATAAACATGCATACTCTTCATGCGCCTTCTATCATTTTACGACTAAAAAATTAAAAAGTTCGTAATAATTCGTAACTTCCTTCGTACATTCGTGTTCGAACGATTCGACTCGCTTTATGGCCTCTCGTAAGTTACCGAAGAAGTCACGTGCTCTCGGAATTAACATTTACGCCAGTGATGATATCCAGTAAGACAACAATACACACAGCACACCTGATAAATGAAAACAAATGTTCTGAGATATGAATGGACATCGAGAAGTATTACTAATCATAATCTCGCAAACTCTACTATGATATTTCTATCTTTACACGATGAAAGTAAAGATCACTCACCACGATTAAACAGGTGGTACCAGCCCCCATATAATTATTCTCGAACTGCACTACAGCATGCACGATAAATGCATTTCCGTGATGTAGATACTTTAGTTAGCGGATCCGTAGAATTTTGACACGTTCGTCGCGAGCAATATGCCACCTTCGTCTGACGAAACTCTGCTAGCGATATCTCCATGAAGCATGGTAAGCTTGACAGGTACACAGAGCCATGGACATGGGTCGTACACCTACGGCTCTTTTTCGATTCGAGTCATGGTGGCGATCCCAAGGACGCTCGGCCAGCATCAACCGCACGATGTACGTGCACGTACTGGGTGTTTCAAAATTTTAACACTGTCGGCCTTACGAAGCTTTCTACTAACTTCTTGGACTCTTAAAACGTAGATATATTCTTGCGACGTCAAGAAAGATTCATTTCAATCATCCGGTGATTCAGGAATCTTCAGGAAATTGCTGAAAATACACAACGTTATTAGTATTAAGCATAAGCAACATTTTGAGACTTTACAGTTTTTTAATTTTTGAAATTTTTTAACTCCCCAATGTTAACAATGAAAATTTTTTTATGTTTTGAATTTGGAATACTGAAACAGTTTGATTAACAAGTTAATGTTTCGAAACTTCGTAATACCAGATCGAAGATATGTTTCCCGCCAAAAAAATTTGGGAATCTAAATTAACGGTCGTACAAGATATCAAGTGAGCATCTCTACTTATCTATTTGTAAATTGTAACACGTATTTGTGATTAGAACAGAAAATCCCATCTTTGAGTTCTCAACAAAGAGATCAGATAACAACAAAAATTGTAAATTAAACTTAACTTTTAAAGAACACGATGTTAAACAAAGAAAAAGATTCGGAAGTTTCGATACACCGTATACATACGTTAGACGCGTGTACCTGTGGGTTAACACACATTTGATGATGGATGACTAACTCACCCGGCTAGGTGGTATGAAAAGAACCTCGATAACGCTTTATGACTTCCGTTGTTTCGATGTCAGAAGGTTGTCGATCGGCAGGTGAGTATCTCTGGTATGATACGAGTTGAACGGAGCATCATCTGAACGTGAAACTCATTATGACGGTACACGTATCCGGAACACTTTCTCCAAACGTGTTGCATGCTTTATATAAAGTGTACTTCATATTTGAATCTTGACATATAGATACACGAACGTCCCCTCAATTTGTGGATCGTTTCGATCACGTGGTCACGTCAAATCTATTCGGTCGATAACGACGAATACCTTCTTTTTCGAGCAATCAAATCGATCTGTAATTTCGCGTCTGTTGTATGTGCCAATTTCACGTAATTATTCAAATCATAAAATTTTTATATGAAGAAACATGGTTTACTTTTATAGAGAAACAACGATGTAAAATTTTTATGAAATTTACTTTCAAATTTTCAGATTTGGATGTGCATATATTTCGTGTTTCAAAATTAAAGACAAACGATGAAATGTTCTTATCCCTACACTCGTTTTTATCCAAAGTAAGTCTGCTTTGCATCCCAATGTATATGTAATAGTATTCATATTATTGAACATCAACTTGAACTTGAAAGTCCTAATAGCTATGTATGCAATATTAGATATGTGTTGTATTTTTTCCGCCACGTTGTTTTTTAGGTAAATTGACGTCATTGTTGAATAATATTTCAACTTTGAAGCACATGTGTGCCCCTCTCAATCAATTAATTGAAAATAATGTTTCCAAACATGTCGTCCAATAAATCGATTTCATCGGTAACGATGAACCCGTCTGGTCGTTTAAAATTCCTTAACTAGCACATCACCTAATATAATTATTAAAACATACGCGTAATCCGTTTCGATCGTTGTCACGAGTTCGGTTCATGTATCCATTTATTGGTATTGTGACTGTAATTCAAATTAAAGCTTCATATTTACAATAGTTTTCGTTACGAATGTTTACACAAACACATACCAGCGTATTTAATATGCACAGACTAAAATTGAAGGCACTTGATTAATAAGACGAATGATCGGTAATTCCCTAAAAATATGACAGACTACCGACTTATCTCGTGATTGTAGATAAAGCCGATAGCATCGGATAAAGCTCGATATCCGAGTTTACTAAGACGCGAATGGTTATTTTACATTTTAAGACTCAAAATACTATTCGCGCTATTCCAACAAAACCAGTGCATACCTTATACATTATTGTACTGATAATACTTGAGTCAATACATGTTTCAACAAAGCAGTTTTGCAAGAAAAAGAAATGCAAGCATTTGTCAAAAGGGTATAGTACAACAATTTTATTTTTCAAATATTACATTTATCTTCAATGTATACATGCTATACTTTATGCTACATGTAACATTATGGGATATAAACAAACATAAAACCTAAATGTCAAAATGTTTGCTCTTCCATATAACATTCTTTTAACGCCTACGATTGTAACAAATGCGTATATCTAACAAATTTTGAAATGTTCAGTTGCCATCGTTTGCAACGTTCATCTAGCTGTACTGACTAAAATATCTCAAGCCACATTTTAAATGCTGTAACATCATACAAGCCTGTTATAAAAAAATAGAGAGAATTAATCAACGGACTAGAATTTGACGGATTGTCCAATCATTATACGTATCACCTCATGAGACGAGCATTTCTACCACAAAATTATGTTAGTATATAGTTTTATGAAATGCGAATACCAAAAATAGGCTTAAACGGAATACACTGTTTTGTTTGATTAATTGCACTTATTCAAATGGCTGATATTATACATCTTGAGCATAAATGGAGCAAAATTCCCATCGTTATGATAACTTTTAAATAGTGGACATATGCGTATAAAATTGTAAACCATTGTAACTAATAAAAATGTGCGAGTGACTAATATCTCGAGTAAATTTAAAAATTCGCCCGCGTGTCCTTAGAATTCTCGCAATATCCATTTCATTTGATTCGAAATTCGGGCCGGCCCGATTTCTTTGGATTTTACCCGAATCTAATCGATTTACCTAAGGACGTATATCTCGTCTTTATCCGAGTTGATCCGACTTTTTCCGATCTAACCCGACACATTAGATTACGCGCACATTTCTAATAACTAATAATGAAAATTTGTTATGTAACTTAACATTATCAGACACAATTCGTTGATCATTTCCTTCGAGATAACAATATCTTCACTTATGAGTCTGCAAAACAATAATAACTGACTGCTTTTTATTTCCACTTGAGATCTAACAAAATAGACGCTGAACGTTCGTTGCAATTTCTACTGGGAGCTCAGCGTACATAGAATTCCATTCATTTGGAAAATCTCGCTGGGCGGATTTGATGAATTCCATAACAAAGCTTTTTGCCTCTATATAAAAAAATATAAATGTGCAGATTAATACATGCCATGATAACTTTATGATTACGTTTAATTACAAAAAAATATTACATAACGTACCATCGTCAGTAGCTTTCTCTTCATGCAATACACTAACCGCTACCTTCAGCAATACGCACATGTGAGCTTGTAAGATAGAATGTCCAGCTTGATACAAAGTCAATATGCTTCTAAAAACTGCTTTGTTTTCTTCAAAATCTTCCTTTAACGGCAACTGATTAACAAACACTGGAAATACTTGCTCAAGAGGTATATTAGAGTAATTAGCAATGATAAGTCGTGCAATTGCACCGACCACGTTATCACGAGCTCCTGCGTGGGACTCCTTAGCGATCGCGCTTGATAAAACTTGTAAAATATCTGGGTAATGTCTATACATTTATTATTAAGGACCATCAGGAAATTCAATCTTTTGTCCAAAATTAGAATAACTTATTAGAAGGATACGAATACACTGCTTCTTTTCCATGCAGTGCAAGTTCACCAATTCCATAGATTGCATTATTACGAACTTCAGCACTTGGGTCATTTGTGAGCGCCAAGAATGTAGTTAATAAATCAGGTATGAACGCGGCTACTGTATGTTTAAGCCCTGAGAAACATTCTGAAATTGTACCAACTACAAAAGATCTTTGGGCTTCAGATTTATTTTTTTTCTGAAAATATTGGCTAGTTTTCAAAATGTAAAAACAATATTGTAAGTATAATTAAAAAGAATCATACCAGTCTATCTAAAAGCCATGGCAATACAACTTGGAAATGAATTGCGAAATCTTCTGGAGCGATTACTTTTCCAAAATTAGATAAAACATCACCGGCACATTCAATCAATAATTCATCTTGTTCAGCTTCTGTATCTACGTCTTCTGCTTCCTCTAAGTCTTGGCATACTGTCATACCTATCATAAGCCGAGCTAGGTAATGGTCATTACAATATTAAGAATACAATAATTTGGGGTTACGTATTCACCTGACATAACATCTGTAATACAATTTATTATAGCATCATTATGACCTTCCCCAACAAGAACATCCGATTTTATCTCTTTGAGGAGTTCCGTATAAGCATCTAAAGCACTAATAGCTACTGTTCGTTCATCGCCTAATCTTATTAATTCTGACAATCTTGGAATAAATACAGAGAGAGCTTTCAATAAAGCTTGCTTTCCTTCATTGGTATTAATCTTGGAGAAGTTAATGCAAAATTGTAAAAGTGCGTCGATAGCAGCTTTGCGAATATCTTCTTGTGGATAATTAATTAATTTGTAAGTTTCTTCGAAAGATTTTTCGAGGTATGGAAGAAATGCTTCCCTAAAATATTTTACTTGTAAGATCAGATATCACAAATATAAAATATATAAAAATTAAATACCCTGTATGCTCAGCAATTTCCTTTAACGCCAAAATTGCTTCCTCTTTCTCCTCGATATATGCATTTTCAACGCTATATCCCGCAACGTCGTCATCGTCATAATCATCTTCGTTGTCCGTATTTTCAATATCTTCTTCGTCGTTTTCATTTTCGTTATCGCTAATATCTTCATAAACCGGAAACGCTGATGTTTCATCCTCTTTAAGATGAGGCTATCAAAAACATAATGATATGTTTGTACACATAATTCACAATCTTGTATTTACTATCTGTACAATATACGTACTACTATGCCTTCTGAACTCTGTATGCTCGTTATCATGTAATCAATGATTTCTGGAAGAGCTGCTGCCATATCTTTCTTCATTATAGTACTAATTGAGGCGAACAATCCATAAATAGATTTTTTCAAATCTGGATCTTCGGTTTCTTTCAATAATTCCATTCCGAAGTTAAGAGACCTACCAGCCAGAGGTGCAAAATTTTTGTCACCTATTGTTCTTGCAATTACTCCAAGAGTATCTATAATTTTAATCAACAATTAATACGATTATTCAAGATCATATCAAGCAAATGTAAGGTCAAACACACGGACCAACTGCTTGTACTTGAAGACACATGGTTTCTTCCGATTGTTTCTCCGTAAGATAACTATCAAGAATAACAATGACTTTCTCGAAATACGGTAACATGTGCTCTTTACTTGCCATGGCAGCCGAACCAATAGCACTCAAAGAAAGTTCTCCGATATGAACTGGTGTATCTGCATTTAGAAGTTCGAAAAGCCTTTCCATCAATGTTGGTAGATACGGCAAAAGACTTTCGTTCAAGTTTTCACAGAATTTTTCCAGTGCATAAAACATACGATCGACTGAAGGTGGCTCTTTCTTTTCTTGCCTGATATGAGCACATATTTGACCAAGGTATTCAAATAATACTGGCAACAATTCAGACGAATATTGGGAAATGTCAGGTTGTAAATGTTCAGAAAACTGTCCGAGAGCAAAAAGTGCAGCGTTGCGTACCACGGGAATGGTATCGGTAATTCCTTGACAGATACAACGTAAGAAAGATTCAAGGTATTTTGTTCGGATATATTCGGAACAGCCTTCTGCTAACACTGCCATTGCTAGATATGATGCTTTCTTTGCATATACGTCCGTACCTTGAAGACTAGGCTCAATATATTGCAACTATAAAATCAATGTAAAAATAAAGTTTGTTGTTATGGAAAAGGTTACTGAAAGTGTTCCAAATCATACCAGTTGAGGAATTAATTTCTCTGGCGGTAAATTGAGAGCAAGTAAATCTAAGGTTTGAGTAGCACAGGTTACAGGTGTATTGTCTTCATTATCACCACTAAAGTAGACTTCGTCGTTATCGTCCTCAGGTCGTATAGACATAAGATTGAACAATAATTCTATAAAATTGTATTAAAAGATTAATTTGACATATGTAGTATAAAAAATTGATTATAATATTACTATAACTTACCTAGAATTGGTTCAACAAGTTTATGTTTGATTATAGCTTTCTTTTTCGTCCTGGCTAACCAACCAATAAAGCCTACTGCTTTAACTCTAAGAGCATCATCTAATGATTTATTACTAGCAATAGCAAGACACATAGTGACAAGAGGTTTTACATGAGGTGCTATTACAGTCACTGCATTCTCGCACAGTTCATCTAACAGTTCAAAGCATTCAATAGCTTTATCTTCATTACTAGTGGTAAGTGCTTGAATTGTATTCATTACCAGTGGTATCATTTGATGATAAGCATTTACCATCTGCAAAGATAATGTATTATTAGTTGAGGTAATATTTCTTGTTAAATTGTAATTATTTATGACCTACCATTTGATTACCTTCAACCAAAGGAACAAAGTTCTGCATTATTTTTAAAATATAATATGCAACAGGATGTCCTAAATCTTGTAAACTGCTTAATGTTTGCCCCAAAAGAACTGCGAGGGAGCCAGCATGAGTAACATATGCATCAGGTGCAATTTCTGTCATAATTGACAAAGTATAGGTTCCCAACTATAATAATACAATATATTGTATCAAACTTACTAGGAATTTTACTAAAGATGTTATATTTGTTATACCTCCTTCTCGTTTAAGTTTTCACTAGTAACTAATTGCTGTACAAACTGTAACACTTCTGGCCATCCATTATTAGGTAGTTCATGTTTTACAATTACACCTATCAATTGCGCCACTGCATTTTTTACAAATTTTTCCTGTTCATTTACCAGTGCCTAAAGGACAATACAAGCTGCATATATTATTAACCAAATATTATTTCTAAAATTATGTATTCTTACTTGTAGGATTATTGTTTTAAATTCAGTCTGTATGTGCGGTGGTAGTTTTAACCAGTGCTTTCCTTTGCCATAGCGTTTTCTGAGTAATACAGCAGCATATTGTCGAATCTATATACATATCACCTTCTGTTATAAAAACTGATAATAAAAGATATTTATTCATACAGTAAAGATAAAGTACCTGTGAATTTGTCGAAGAAACAATAAGTCGACATAATGCCAATGTACTTTCTGGCTTTTTAAAAGCTTCTCTAAGTTCCGTTGTTCCCTATAATCATTTGAAACATAAAATGTAAAACACTTTGTGAGAAGAATTTCGAAAAAGGTATGTGCTAATGAAAGAAACGTACAAACATCCTTATTTAATAATAGAAAGGAGTACATGGTATGCATATTAAAATATAAAAGGTGCAAACAGCAAAGACAGAGAGACAAGAAATGAGATATTTTATTCGTTTTAAATATACAGTGTACATGAAATAATGAACATCTTCTGTTAAAGATTATAACACTGACTATACAAAATAACTTATTTTAGTTTGAAGTGGTTATCAGCAGAAGCAAACACGTGTTTCGAATGTCATAAGATTTGTTTCAATTATTTATTGTCATTTCTCTACTCATACCTCTTGAATCGTTGCGTTATCAGCTACGAGTAACTTTAATAATATTTCCTCCATTATTGCTGTACTATTGATAATAAAATATGAATTTGGCAGTACTTCGAAGTAAAATAGCCGGTTGTCGACTACCGCTTTTCTGACCTGTTGGTGACGTCCGTAAAATACCTCAATGCACATGCGTAATACCGTACATCCTAACGTATCAATCGCAAAAAAATTTTTATACATCAATTATATTTGTCATAAATTACTTCAAATATTGTAAAATGCAAATATTTTGAAGAGAATAAGCTCCATTAATTCACCTGTAAAATGTATATTTCACGTACTTGGATTTCTTTCCATGTAAGCGTGCATAGAATCTCACAAAGATCAGAAGATTTTGTATCCAACTGTACAGTTAAAAGTTTACATCCTCTGAAGATTTATATTCTTAATTGAAACGTTGTTATTACGGAAACTGTACAGCAATAAGAGAAAACACTGTGTTATTACAAAATATGTAAATTAATGAGCAGGAAACTTCGCGTAAATATTAGTATTATACGATTTTTAATTTTATATAACTGCGCGCTATAAAGGATACGGAGCGATAATCATAATTCACGGTTTTCTCGCTAGATTGCGTTGATAGTGATAAAGTAGAAAATTTTGTATAAATTTGTTGGCTGACCACTAGATGACACTATCTTCATTATTTTCGAAGCGTGTAATCAAGACGAGCTTGCACAGTGTCATTGGCTTGTTAAAGTAATTACTGAAAAGTGTAAGCTTTGCAAGATAATGTTACTATGTAAGAATGCTTCAATTTTTAAAGAGGAATAATTTGTGGTAGTAAAACTAGCTTGTAAGGAAGTAAATACGTATAATTAATTTTATAATTTAATGTGAATATAGTACTCATGTCATGTACTTGAAAATAATAATTTAGAAATAGTTCTTCTTTCTACCCGTACAATGTGAATTGCAAACCGTTCTCCCGTTTTCGTCTAGCCTCGCATCGTATAGTTTATTATTCTAGAGCGAACCCCTTCCTTCAGTATCTACTTCTCTTTTTACTCCTTGTTCACCCTTCTTTCCTTTCGTACTCTCTCTGTTGCTTCCTACGTTTTTGTGAATGCTTCGATACGCGCTTTGAGATAATGCAGTCTCTGAAATTCCTAGATTTCTATTTTAAAATTTCACGGTGAAAAACATTAAACAATTGTTAAATTTATATTCCTTTTTATGATCAAATTGTCGATGTAATAAAAATTAGCTATTTAATATATTTTTTACAGGTTAAGAATATTTTCAGTGACGTAACTGCGAGCGTAACCAGATCAGTTTAAATGAAATAAAAATGAATTCGCTGCTGTGAGTGAGCGTACAAAATTGTTTAAATTCAGGTAAATCAGTATATTTTTTATAAAATACGAAGTAAAAATTTAAAAAAGCAGAAACTTTATGGCGGTAAAAATATATCACGCTGGAAAAGTATTGCAGAAACATGAAGTCGACGAAGCACAGCTAGAAGACAGCAAGATGACCTGTCAGCAACGTCGTTGAGTGACTCCTCTTGCACCTCGTGTACATTCGTCGCCCGATTTACAATACTTGCAATCCATAAGACGATGAAGAAAAATGGCTTTTTTCGTACAAATTTAGTATCTGGCTCACCATAACGTGAATAAAAAAAATGCTCGAAGAACTGCAGTTACGAAATAAGATAATTTTGAGATAATCAGACAACACATCGTAGACGTCACAGATATTCGAACGACAATTAATTATTAAATTATAGAGCTAAAAACTTTTTGTAAATTAATATGATGTTTAAATGCAGTGTGAAGAAAATTCAATCGCGTTCATCTAGACGGGTAAGGACAGGTCTTATTGCTAAAAAATCTTTATGCGAAATTAATGTCCGTATGAATCTGTTTCGTGTAAGCCGACACCACGTGCGACTCACCATCTCGTAGAGCGCGAGAGTTCTCTAATTTATTACATAAGCAATCCCCTGTGCCTCTTAATTCGCTAAGGCAATTCAAGGAAATCGTCGATAGGTGGCTAAATCGATGAAACAAAGAGGCATTTTATCTTACAAATGGCGACGATGCGAAACTCGAGACTGAAATTATTGTTAAATATATTAATGGGACCTATTTTATAAGAAGTAGACAATGGAGACATTGTGCAATTAAATTTCTTACCCCACAAATTCTTACGTTCCAAAATTTCAAATTCACTAATTACCTACTTGTAAATTATTAAATTTTCCAATTTTTTAGGATTCGAGATCTCAGGAGCTTTGAAGTTGAGACCTAGCGAAATCCTGGGAGAACCTCAGAGAACCAGGGAGAGAGAAACATAGGAGAGAAATGAAGAGAGTAAAAGAAATTGCGATTGAACACCAGTCTGATTCATCGCTGAATTTCCCAAGCACGTTCTTTATTTCTCTTCCTTGACCGCGATAATGAGATCTGGATCGAGTGTCACGATACTATTTTCGGACATGACAGGATCAATAACCCGACCACATTTCCGCGAAGAAGAGGTGCAACACATGATTTTATAGGAAGTCCCCAAAGGTGCCGACAATATTTGAACACGTGACAGAAGGAACTCCATATTACTCAAATAAGTATATCTTGTCTAACGAAAAAGGAAGGTCCCGATGTGCTCGTCAGTTTTATGGCTGGGTCAGGCAACAAGCTGTTCCAATAGAAAGTCGTTGGGCATTACTAGCAGTAACTTAGTATCGTTCATGGTCTTCTTTATAACCTCCTGTGGAGAATTTTGAGCTACGGTTCCTTTTTAATTCTTCAGCGGAAAATCTTCTTTTCTCCGTCCAGGAAGAGAAGACAATAAAACGACCAAAAATACACGTCTGGATCTCAGAGTCAGAGTGTATGAAGTCACACTTCACAAATTCACAGAAGAGAAAATCAAAGATGTGGAGATCACGATTGAAATATAGTTGAGTCAAAACAAAATTATTTTAATATAAAATAAAAATATTATTAAAAATGTGGACGTAATACACTCTGTCTCTGGGGTTATTGCTTCACGTGCCAACTCACCAGACATAATATAAAAGTTCCAGTAACCGCATAGCCTGTTGATTCTATTAAAAATTTGAATTAGTAAAACATGTTTAAAATAAGGAATGACGATAATTGTAAAGAGTCCAAACAGTTTTATTGCACGTAAGGAATGATCGAAGCTACGGAAGAGAGATTGTAGTGACAAAAGCGAATAATCATTTTATGCTAGCTAGAGGAAAGCATACCTATTGCGCGGGACGACGCTTCAAACTGTCTGACGAACGAGAAGAGTTCTCGGAATTCATGAACGAGAAGCAAGGGAATAGGAAGCTTGTCGTTATCGAAAAAAAATTCTTTATCGTCACCGCAAAACTAACGTCATCTTGTTAATGTTTACTCCATTCGGCTTGATACATACACACGACAACCGTAGAACTCTCATTACACTTATACGTCTTATTCTGTGTGTGTAGACCCTCGTTATATCGCCGTTGATGTATTATGGCAGTGTGACAAGGCAACTTCACACAGAGATGGCAATATAACGAGAGTCTACCATAATTCAATTCGCAACAGACAACTTAAATTATCAATATTTATTCAAATCAATATAAATATAAATAGGAGCAGAATGTGCGCAATCATCGAAGCGGCTATAAGGAAAGAGGTTTCTTTAGCGTGGCTCGCGACGCATGTACAACGCCTCCAACGATTCTTGAGCACACGGTATAGTTCTTTTTTACAACTTGTACATACACGTTCACGTTTCTTCTCTCGGATAACAGAGTCGTCTCGAGTCTGATAAACACTTGTATCAATGTTAACAAATGACACGTTACACTTTGTTCCAGATCGTCGCACGTTTCACATACTGTACTTGATCTGGTCGTAATACATCGTCGTCGATGGCGTCGTGGTCGTGTGATGAATGTTCGAGGAAACAGTACCGGGTATGTTCGATATACTCAAACCACCGATGTTGCTCAAGTTGAGCGAGCTTAGAGAGCTTAACGAGCTCAAGGTGACCGATCCAGCTGGATGACCAAAGTAGGATGGTTTCCTATCAATCAATCCACCCCCGGAACTGTTGGAATTCGAATTCGAACACTGCATCTTTATCCCTGGAACAAGAAGAAAACAATTTTTCTAGAATCTACACAGCTTCTTCGGTAGTAATCACATTAGTTAAAACGTGTTGTCGAGGAGTAAATTTTGGAAAAAATCTGAGGCAAGACCACACATGAGGACGAAAGAAAACGAAAGAAAAAGATCTCACGATACGAAATCAGTCCTTGTATAGGTACGATAAATCTGAAGCTCCGCCGGCTCTTGAGTTCTTCTTCAAGTGCACACTTCACTCGTGTCTCGACTGTCGTCTTTGTCTTTCTACGTTCTCTTTCGCCTTCGTTTTCTCTTCGTTTTGCCTTACAGTCGTACAGACGATCTTGGCGATAATACGTTTAATAATATGAAAATGGCGTAAGGGAAGAATTAGCTGCTTTAATACTTAAGAATTAGGAATATGGAGACACAGCAATTTATGTATATAGAGACATACAATTACAAGAATTTGTAGATGTAGAAATATGAGCACGATTGGTAAAAGAATTGTGACGACATAAAGATCTATAGAAATAAATAGAAAAGCAATGGCGGTCTCGATAGCAATTGGAATCCGTTTTAATTCGACGTCGAAGGCAAAGTGTAACGAGGGTCTTGAAACGGCGTCGTGTGTGGTCTCAATGGCAGTGCCGTCAGTCAAAATCTCTCCTCTCCTCTCCGCCGTTCTAACGAATCCGAAGTTTCCTGCCTGGTTGAGCAATCTGTTCTCGCGCGCGAAATTCTTTCTCTTTCTTTTTCGTTCGGTTAGGACGTGCGCGCCGAGAACGATGGCAGTAAAAGAGCACAGAAGCGGTTTCCGAGCGAATATCGGAGGCGTCGTACCAACAACGATGCCATAGTCGCGAGTAGCGAGATCGCTCCAGAAATACATTCCAAAACACGACGGGGTAGAAGAAAAAGGAGAAAGAGGAAAACTGGGGCCTACCGAGACGTCTGCAGATTGATCTCGTTTACACTTTACTGACTGAACACCAGGGGCGGGAAGGGGACAGGAAGGGTGTGTGGGTGGCACGTTTATCCCTTGGCGATTCCACCGTGTATCGAGGTGGAGGGAATAGATTGTACTTATATCGGGAGTGTCGAAACGATCTGTTGATCCGTTGTGAATACAGGGTGCTCTAATATAACAAATTGGATATTTTGAAACTTTTGCGTTTTTGAAACTGTATGTCTGTAAATATCTACGTCTTCGAATCTGTACGTCTCCGCAATCTTTATATCTCCAACTCTATATACGTCCAAACCCCTGTATTCCCAAATTTTTATATCTCCAAACCCCTACATCCCCAAATTTTTATATCTCCAAATCCTTACCTTCCTAAACTTCTACATCCCCAAATCCCTATATTCCCAAAACCTCTTCAAATTCCTACACTCCTCAATCTATCCCTACATCCCTAAATCCCTACGTCCTCAGTCAACCCTAACATACTTATAAATGTATAAAATTAGTATTAGTTAGGAGGAATGTAGTGTTTACTAATGTACAGTTTGTTAGAGATCAGTGAACTATTAGGCTGAAGTCGGTCTCGCAGAGAGGTTTAATAAACGAACAGGCTAATGTTTGAGGTGGCTACGTTCGATGTACTTAGATTAAAGAACATCTTGTTTACTCCACTTGTAAATGTTTACGCGATAAGCGATTTGAGACCTCACTTACCAGCACGCGACTACCGGTAACCGATACAAAAAACCGTGTATTTTCGTTCTTCACGATCATTTGTTTATCGCATGATTGAACTTATAGTACTATCTTACGTTTTGGTTCGTTCATTCATAAATTAATTGTAAATGAATGCGAATTAATGTTATATCGACAGTTTTATTGTAATTTGTATGAATAGGAATAATGAATACTTTTTTGGTAGAATGTGATCTTGCTGGGATTTGTATGATGTGCAATGCATTTGGGTTTGGTTAGGGATGAATGTGGGACGAGGGAGAGGTGGTAATATTTTATAAATAAAAATTAGATAAATTTTTAAATTTCTAAATTTCTAAATTCTCAAACTTCATATCACTAATTTTTTAAGTACCTCATTCCCTAACTCCCTGACTCCCTAATTCCCTAATTCCCTAACCCCCTAATTCCCTAACTTTCTAACTCCCGAACTCCTTAATTCCCTAACTCACTAATCTCGTAACTCCCTAATTCCCTGACTCTCTAATTCCCTGACTCTCTAATTCCTTGACTCCCTAATTCCCTGACTTCCTAATTTCCTGACTCCCTAATTTCCTGACTCCCTAATTCCTTGACTCCCTAATTCCTTGACTCCCTAATTCCCTAATTTCCTAATTTCCTAACTCCCTAAATCCTTAATTCCCTAATTTCCTAACTCCCTAATTCCTTGACTCTCTAATTCCCTGACTTCCTAATTTCCTGACTCCCTAATTCCCTGATTTCCTAATTTCCTAATTTCCTAGCTCCCTAAATCCCTAATTCCCTAACTCCCTACTTTCCTAACTCCCTAATTCCCTAATTCCCAAATCCCCAAATCCTAAAATCCTTAAAATCCTTAAAATCCCAAATATCTGAACCCTTAAGAAAATTCAAGCGAACAGTAACTCATAAATGCTGTTCCATGAAATATTCCTGCCATGTATCGTAAACATTTTACTACCAAGAGGGACATTTAACGAGCGTTTAATTGTCGTCTGCTAGTTAACTACAGGTCTCCACGCTAAATTAATCCGTACGTCGAGATTTCGTGTCGCGCCCTGTTACATATGTTAGCTTACGAGTTACGAATTATGACTTCTCGCATGAGCGTGACAGGGAATGTCACCCCGACTAATAGGTGCTGTCAGCTCCGGTGATTTCGTGTCTGTCGGCTCCGCGAGAAGTGTACTTTCGACGTCGCGAGAACCAACTTTTAAATTTACCCTCCAGGAAGTTATCTGTACTATCTAAATATTCATTATTATTGAAAAACAAAAGACAACTAATTATAACAAACTAAAAATTTGAATAACCAAATTTAAAAAATTTTAACATGTGATAATTGCACGAACGTAGAATGTGTCGAGACATTTTTCGAACGAGAAGTCTACGTTTTACGGTGGTCGGCGCCCGTGCGGTCGTAAACCGTCTGCGATTTTCCACATGGCCATCCCTCACTGTTGTGAATTGTCATTGTTGTCTTCGACTTCAAGATCTAACCTCGTGAATGCCTGTCTTTAAAAATCTGGATGTGTCCGAGAAAATAGGAATTTTCCACATTCTGCACGAGATGAGTTGTGAACTTTAAGGGGTTGCAAGGTGTCTCTCGAAGACAATAGACATCTTCTTCAATTATTATTCTTGCCTATACATGTATCGCTTGATACAAGTACTATTTTCTCACTATAGTACCAGCAAAAACAAATTTAATGAAAGAAATGTTAGAAGAGACGCAGCTAAAAGAAGATCAAATCAAGTTCACCCCTCATGAACGAGTAATCTCAATCATCCTTCCAAGTCCTCACCTCTTCTAACTTCCGAAACATTTTACAAAAAAGCAATTCCTATATAAAACCAAGTAACACTCACCGTTGTCCGTCACAGGTGTCTGACAGCCGCTATGCGGTGAACTGACGTTTCCCCCAGGACTAGTATTCCCAGTCTGTTCCGGAATTCCCTGCATGGGTACATTGACATTGCTCCCGGCATTATTGACCCCGGCAAGCCCATATCCCACATAGTAATCCTGTCCCGGAGCCTGTGTAGTCGGCGCAGGATTAGAGGGACACTTGTACGACATCATGGTGTCGTTTTCCTTGTAAACCGTCTCGGGATGATGCTGCTGATGATCCTTCACGGAGAACCCCTCGGTAGCCCTGTATGCTAGCTGGTCCTGACTCCTGGACGCGTATCCTGGCTCGCTCTTGAACGCCACGATTTCCCCGTTCCTGTACACCGACGGCTCCCCGGTTTTGTATGTCACTTCCGTCGTCTTGTAGGTGACTTCCGCTATGGGTGGGGTCTTGTAGGTGGCTTCGGGGTAGGCCCAATCGGCGGACACCGCCGCTCCGGGTGCGTACATGGCGTACTCCTGGTAATTCTGGTACTGGTTCTGGTACCCGTTCGGGTACTCCATGCTACCTGGTGTCAGATTTTCGTAGCCAGGTGCCTGGACACCTACAGGACCGCTTCCTGAGAAGTACTGAGGGTACTGAGGCTTCAGGGCCTGACACTTGCGACGGAAGCCTCTGGGCCGTCGACGGAAGCTGCCCTCCTCGAACATGTACTCCGTCGACGGGTCGATCGTCCAGTAGTGCCCCTTACCCGGTCTCCCCAGCCCCTTGGGCAGCTTAATGAAGCACTCGTTCAGGCTCAGATTGTGTCTCACAGAGTTCTTCCAGCCTTGATAAGCCCCGCGGAAGAACGGGAAGTGCTGCTGCAGGAACGAGTAGATTTCCGAAAGGGTCAACCTCTTGCCGGGACTCGACTGAATCGCCATCACTATCAGAGCTATGTACGAGTACGGTGGTTTCTCCTGACGACGAGCTCCGGGCTTCCTGGGCAGCTCCGTGCTGGACGGGTTGCACATCAACGGGTCCAAACTTTGATCCTGGTTCGAATTGCTGGACATGGACAGGCCGGTTCGTGGAACCACGGACGCGGAGTTGGCGTGGGCGACGGAAGTCTGGTCAGGCAGGTGCAAACTCGCGTCCGACTCGTTCTTCATGATCCTCGTACTGTCCACGGTTCCCCGGGGAGTCGACGGCACGATCACTGTCTGATCCATAGGGTCCTATTATTCGTCACACGGCGAACATTCTAAACGACGCACTTCCAGATACACCGAACACTAAGGTACCGAAGTCCCCAAATGCACTGTTAATTATCCCGTATCAGGTTAAATAAATTGTCCAAACGATTCCTGGTACTTTTTCGGAGACGTTCACGGTGTATTTACTGTTTATGCCACGTAGAGCAATTCGCGTGGCGGCCACGCGTTTTACACGGTAATCACAATAAGAAGGAAGAGGAGAGGTCGTTATTTACGTGTGGCCGATGTAAATTGTTTGCACGGAGCCGCACGGTGGGGTCAATTATTTAGACTTGCCACTTGGCAGACGTTTCGTTGATGCGCCACTAAGTGTTTTCGGATGACTGGACCTCGGGATCAACTTCGGACCTGGCGGAAGCTTGGTACGTCGCGATGACGCGAGCCACGCCGTCACGACCCCAGCTTCGTCCCTGGTGGGCGTGTCTGCCCAGACGAATGTGTCCTGGATCCCTGTTGGCTGCTGCCCGATGCGCAACGCTAAAGCTCTCGCACAGAACCAATGAGAATCGGCTATCTTACAGTGTCACGCCTGATGATATTAAACTTTGGCAACGAGAGACAATGAGACACCCTCGTCGCTTTGGACGGAGATTGTAATTGATAATGACCACATGAGTTTCTAGTTTCGCGGTTTTTATCATTGCGGTGAGATGTTGAGGGTGGTTGTTGCATTGCTTTGATGGTAATGAAGTGTTTGTCTCAGGATGAAAAGGGTTTTAATTACTGAACTGTTGTTGGGTTTTTAATTATTGAATTGTTGTTGAGTTATTGTGGATAAAGTTGCATATGTGATAATTGAAATGGTCATTTTTTGGAATGGTTATCCTACGGCTAAATATGGTAGTGAACAAGTAAAATAAGTTGATAGTTTCACACTGGGGTTGATGCGGATGAGGTGATGTTTAAAGTTCAAAAATATTTTATCATGTCCTTGAGGAATTTTTTGAAGAATATTAATATTATTTCTCAAGAAGATTCATGCTAAAATACTTTAAAAAATTGTGGAACACAAGTTGCCTAACACGAGTAGTCTCTTTGTCAAAAGACATCATTTGGAACAATTTGTTTTATCAAGGTCTATAACTATTTTAACTCCAGTTTTATCTTCTGGATAAATTTTTTAACAATATTCTAAGATTCGTCAAATAAGCTAAATATTTAATTCTGAAAAGTGGTACTACATTTGAAAGAAAAGAATAATTTAGGAGTAAATATTGTCTACTTCGATACTTATTGTTAATTCACTCGAAAAGTGATTGTTCGTGAACAACAAGTTTAATAATTTGAGACTACGGTGTACGAAGACGGTTGAGAAAAGCTCCCTGAAACGATTGGTCCACCTGTTGGCCAACGAGAAGGCAGACCAGTGCTCCGCCCGCGCAACAGAACCGCCCTCCATTTTCCGCTTCTATCTCTTCGAATCTGTGTATCATCGTTTTATCCCGAAATCAACGTCGATTATCTGGAAATTTTGCCAATGATGTCAGTTTTCAACTGAAACTACGCGTCATCGCGAATCGTCGGTTCATTCAATACAAAATGTCGGACTTCCACCATTACAAGGGATCAGAGATACAATTTTTGATACAGGTAATGTTAAACATTTTTGATAATTTAGATTTAAGTTGTACGTCTTTTATAATTGTTAAAAATTAAGTGATGAGTGGCGATACAACATAGAGAATCCGACGCGTTGCAAATTAATTCGTGGCTATATAACGCGTGGTGATACAATGCGTAGTGAATCTAACGCGTAACAAATCTAACGCTTGGCGAAACAGTGTGTACAGAATTTGACGCGTTGCAATACCATGCGTGGCAATACAACGCGTAGCAAATTTAACGCATAGTACATTTAACGCGTGGTAATATAACGCGCGGCGATACAGCGCGTAGAGAATCTAATCCATAACTAATCTAACGCTTGGTGATACGATGCGTACAAAATTCGACGTGTGGCAATACAACGTGTGGCGATACAACGCGTGGGAAATTTAACGCATAGCAAATCTAACGCGTGGCGATACAACGCGTAGGAAACTCAACGCATAGCAAATCCAACGCGTGGCAATACAACGTGTGGCGATACAACGCGTGGCAAATTTAACGCATAGCAAATCCAACGCGTGGCAATATAACGCGTGGCGATACAACGCGTAGGAAACTCAACGCATAGCAAATGCAACGCGTGGCGATACAACGCGTAGCAAACTTAACGCATAGCAAATCCAACGCTTGGCGATACAACGCGTAGGAAACTCAACGCATAGTAAATCCAACGTGTGGCAACATAATGCGTGGCGATACAACGCGTAGGAAACTCAACGCATAGCAAATCCAACGCGTGGCAATATAACGCGTGGCGATACAACGCGTAGGAAACTCAACGCATAGCAAATCCAACGCGTGGCGATACAGCGCGTAGAAAATCTAACGCGTGGCGATGTAATGCTTACAAAATCCAACGCATTGCAATACAACGCGTGGCAATACAACGCATAAAAATTCCAACTTGTAGCAATACAACACATAGCAAATTTAACTCGTACCAAATCTGACGAGTGGCAATATGACGCGTGGTAATATTTTAATTTAATAATATAACCCCCCTTCAAATTTTCAAACTAAATTTCCTGGAAGCAATATTTTGTTAAGTCCGGGGTTAATGGACAATGCCCTATATTATTCTCTGGGTTCTATGAACTTTCATTTCTTATCGCACCGTGTTCAGTCATCACTGTGGAAAGTTTACAACAATCCGCCTGTCAATTAGATCGCTGATTTGGCCCGATCGAAACGCTGTGTTTATTCGGCAAAGCACGTGACGAGGTATCGAGTAACTGGTCCGGAAAGAAGTGAAGAGATTACTTATCAGAAATCATAACCCTCTTCGTGCTTGAATTTCCAAGCTGCACTTCATCTTCTGTAATATCTTCTGAGTTATTCATTTAACTTTCTTGTTTCATTTTTGATTTAGGAACATGCACTGGTTGTTTTGGTATTAATGAAATTTTGCATAAGTTAGTACTCATCAAAGTGGTTTACGTTTCGCTCCTTTAGTGAAGCTATTGGAAACATCTTTCAGCAGACCATGCACTTACGCTTATAACACGTTAAATTTTAATATAAACCTCTCTTGCGGCGTTAAATAAAAGGAAGCAAGCTTTAATTGTAATTTCAAAATGGCTGACTTTAATTTCTGTCCAAGTATTTCACAAGAACATCTTTTTTAATGTCCATTACTTTTCCCTGTATCAAAGTTATAAACCTATAAAAATGTAGAGTTTAAAAGACAACAGATTATGTCTACATGTCTGAAGAGTTGAAACAAGCAAAGCGATGGTCAAGATTTTTTAACGAGGTACTTCCTGGCAATTTATGTTCCAGGAAACGGAAATTCTGTAACGTAGCCTCGAAGGAGCAATTATTTAATGTCATCCAACGTCCGTTCGACGATATCATGTGCCCTGCGCTCCTTAGCCTACGAATTCTCAAGAAGTTTGTTTGCCTTACAGCGAACGATCCGACGAAAGAGAAGCGTCACGGCCATCTTGTCTTTGCCTTCGAGCTGAATCCCTGCAACGGTTCCTCTGCTTCGATTAACTCGTGGTATCACTAAAACTCGTATTACAAATTTACCATGTACTGAAATTATTTTCAAATTATTAAATTAATAGACTTACTTTATTTTTAAGAGTTTGATGTACTTCGTGATTAATTTTAGTTGAATTAATACGCTTCAATTTGGAGTTCAAGTTCGATGTGTGATTGCATTATAGCAAATTGACATAGTAACATATCAAGTTTTTTTGTTTTGGTTAGTTTTGATGCATCTGAAAAATAAATCATAGTGTAAGAAGTTAAATAATTTTCTCTCATTAAGGGTTTTATTCTTGCAAATTAATTTACTTTGGTTCCAGGATTTCTGAGGAAGAAAGAAATAAAGTTTTTTGAGTACAAGACTCTTGTGGACCTCGTGCCTTAAGGGTTGAAAGTGAAGTGCTCGGAGACCACCCCTCTGGAGATACGGCGCCCAACAGTGTTTACCATTTTTACTGCTTCCAAGATTTACCCGTGACGTTTTCTGCGACAGTTTCAAGTGGTCCTTGAAAAAAACTAATTGAGTCCTAAATGTCCAGGGAGGAAGCTGCAGCGAACGTCTCTGCTCTGAAACCACAACGTGTCATCTTTTCATATCATTCTGTTTATACCATTTTGTTCTATTCATGCAATTCTGTTTGTACAATTCTAGTCATGCAATATTTATAACAATTTTAAAATAAATTATACACACCTCAACTTTTAGTTGAACATTTAGTTGAACACTTCACAGATTAGTTGAAAATTTAAAACATGAGTTGAAGAACATAGAGTTGAAGTTCGTTAAAAGATGAAAAGAAGGGTTGATGAAGAGTGCACCTGAATTTTAATACTCAAAAATTATTATCAGGTAACATTTAGCATTTGAGTGGCACTTTTTTGCGCTGAAATTTAGAGAAAAATCCATGTTGAATTTTTGACTACTGAGTTTTATGAAATGGAATGTTATAGTTGACATTTTTAATGATTATGCTACATCAAAGCAGTGTTAGATAATCAGACTAAGCTTATTAACTTAGAAATTATTAAAAAATATCATTGCTATCAAATCTATTTAAACTTGCTGCAAAAGTACTAATTCTTCAATTAGTGAATTATTAAATCAATCAAAATTGATATGTGTTCAATTTTGAATCTGCTACAGCATCCTTAAAACCAGTTTTATCCCAAAAAAATTTCCCTCCACTTCCTTCAGAAACATACACCTACAAAACCTATACCATTGTCATTAGCAAATTAACTTTATCAAACACTAACAAACAAAACAAGACAAATACAAATGTGCTCTCGCCAAAAAAATAAGCATTTCCAAGGGTATACACCCTTATACATCCTTCGTATTGTTCCTATTCAATAAGAATCCCAAAGAATCGCGACAGTTCAGGCTTGTTTTTTGAAGATAAAACGCAGCGTCGTGGAGACCACCCTAAGAAAAACCCGGTTTTGTCGCACGTGTTCCCGTAGGAAAACCGCAGACCGGAACCAGACATTGTGGCCGCCTGTCTCGCGTGTGCACGAAAACGAACCTTCCGTCTGTTTACATCCGGCGGCGTAGCCATTTTAATTCTGAGTGATTCGCTTTCCGAGAGTAGCGAGAGTATCGAATGCACGTTTCGTGCTTTATAGCCTAACCGGTCATATTCACTAGTTAACTAGGGGCGAAGGGTTGCGCAACTTCCTTTGTTCGTGGAACTTCCGTTTCGGGATTCGAGCTGATGGTTCAAGTTAATTTTGGGATTGCGGTAACCCGAACGGTTACAACGCTTACAAATGTTTGGAGATCGGCGCATTCGAACGTGGCAAGCGTTTTAATGGTACTTGCGTTTATGGAGTTGATATGAGAGTTTGGGATTTAGGGTGTTGGAGGGTTAGTGCGGAATTTGGAAATTTTGGGATTCTTTGGGAGTTTGAGGTGGTGGAAGTTTGGAATTCTGGGGTTTTGGGGTTTCGGTGTATTGGGATTTTGAGATCGTGGGGTTTTGGGGAGTTTGAGGTTGTGGAAGTTTGGAAATTTAGGGTTTTGAGGCGTTGGTGTATTAGGATTTTGAAATCGTGGAGTTTTGGGGAGTTTAAGGTTGTGGAAGTTTGGGAATTTAGGGTTTTGAGGCGTTGGTGTATTAGGATTTTGAGATCGTGGGGTTTTTAGAAGTTTGAGGTGGTGAAAGGTTGGGATTTTAGAGTTTTGGGACTTGGTATATTGTGATTTTGAGATCGTGGGGTTTTTAGGAGTTCAAGGTGGTGGAAGATTAGAATTGTTGGGTTTTGGGACTTTGGTATATTAGGATTTTAAGATCGTGGGGTTTTTAGGAGTTTGAGATTATACAAGTTTGGGAATTTAGAGTTTTGGGACTTGGTATACTGGGATTTTTACATTGTAGTGCTTTTAGGAGTCTGAGGTTATACAAGTTTGGAAATTTGGAGGTTTTACAAGTTTGAAGTTATAGAACCTTAAAACACTAAGGTCTTAAAGGTTTAGCACAATGGAATGTTATCATCTTCTCAGATTTTGTCATTGGAATTTAAAATTGCAAAAACTCTGACACACCAAAATGATTCAGGTTACAACACCTAGTAATTTAATGTCTCTGAAACTTTGGCATTTTTAAATCATAAAATCTGTCGTACTTGAAGAGTTAGTAATTTGAAATCTTTAGAAGGTACTTTGACTTTTTTGATCTGTACAACCATGACACTTACAGTTTATGCTTAGGACTTTACTTATACTTCAGGACTTGGTACTTTGGATCTCAGTAAAGTCCACCGAGTATTTTACCCAGACTTGGACTTCCGTTTCCGATTGTTCAGCGATTTACTCGATCTGGTTGTTCGAGGCCGAAGTTAGAGCCTCACTGCTTGTGGAGAACACGTGAGGCTCTGACGGCCACCCAAGCGGCCATCAGACGCGCCGACGATATTCTCTGTTTACACGATACCGTAATTTTATACCGCTGATCGTGGGTGCACGTTACGAGCCCTACGTTCCTGTCGCATCTTTAACCCCGCCAGATTTGTCCCTGTACCTGCACAATCTCTAAGACCCTCGTTGCATCGCAATTGCAAATGATTCTGTACTCAAAGAAGTACATTCAACTGTCTTAGAGAGAAATATTTTTGAGAAATCATATTTTGATGACAAATTAATTAGGACATATTTGTACATTTTTTTCAAATGTAATTATTGTATGTCGACTCTTTCTCAATTGGTCAAAATATTGTTAAATATCATAGATAAAATATCTATTACATTTATGTTTACAATTGTGTTTACGTTTCTATTAAACACTTATATTTACACAAATATTTATAGCAACATTTATTCGACAAAGCTTCACTTACTAGTATACGGAAAGTATAACACTGGAAAAAGAAAGTTTCAAGTAAACGCGTCGCAACTTCACAAAATGGCGAACTCAGGAGTTAACTAACGAAAATGAAACTTGTTCAACACACTTGACAGTACAACTATTTAATAATTTTCACAGTAATATGCTAACAAAGACAACCGTGTATGTATAATTACTTTATCATTACGTATGAATACCATGAAAGATAATTCAAAAGATTCAAACGCGAATGATGAGTATAGTTTGGTACATGTCTGTCAGACGTTACCTGAGGCACACTCGAGGTGCAAAAGACTCGGCTTCCTTTGAGGAAACGGATATCTTTTCTCTGCTAACGGGCCACTGTTTTCATTGGCTTTTAAACTGTATTTAAGACAAACAATTTTGTCCCCTCCCTTGCTTTTGTTGTCCCTCGACCCGCGTCAGAGAACTTGACGACCAGAGGAACGGGTAAAATGGAGCAGCACGTGGTTGCCATACACGGTGCCTTATGTTTTCGAGTATGTATCAGCATTTTTCAGATCCGGTCTTTTCTTACATAATTGTCCAAATTACACACGATGAAGAACATACAAATATTTATACCTTTTACTTATATCAATTACATCAATTTTAAGGGGTAGTTAGTAACAAACATACTAAACTTTCTATTATAAACATTTAAGTATAACAACTTGAGTTATTAATTAGACAAGCAATGTTCTATTCTTTTAGATCTGTGAAGTTAATTATGAAGTTATTAGAAAAACAGTTAAAACATTTTACTGTTCTTTTAGATACATGAAGTTAATTATCAAGTTGTGATATATGTTGAAACAATGTACCATTTTTTTGAGCTATGAAGTCAATTATTAAGTCATGGAAAAATAAGTTCAAACTCTTAGATCTGTGAAGACAATTACCAAATTATAACAGAGTAAGATAAACCAATATTAATCAATAAGACACACAGTGTATTATATGGAGATAATCTTCAAGTTTCAACAATGAACATATCAGACCTAAAAAATTAACCCAAGTAAAATTCAATTAAAAATGAAGTCAATCTCCAAGTTCCAACAATGAAGATATCAAACCCAAAAAATTAATCAACTCAAGTAAAATTCAGTTAAAAATGAAGTCAATCTTCAAGTTCCAACAGTGAGCATACCAGACCTAAAAAATAAAACCAACCCAAATCAAATTCAGTTAAAAATGAAGTCAATCTTCAAGTTTCAACAATGAACATATCAGACCTAAAAAATTAATCAACTCAAGTGAAATTCAGATAAAAATGAAGTCACTCTTCAAGTTCCAACAGTGAACATACCAGACCCAAAAACTTAATCAACTCAAGTAAAATTCAGATAAAAATGAAGTCAATCTTCAAGTTCCAACAATGAACATATCAGACCCAGAAAATTAATCAACTCAAGTGAAATTCAGATAAAAATGAAGTCAATCTTCAAGTTTCAACAATGAACATATCAGAGCCAAAAAATTAATCAACTCAAGTAAAATTCAGATAAAAATGAAGTCAATCTTCAAGTTCCAACAATGAACATTTCAGAGCCAAAAAATTAATCAACTCAAGTAAAATTCAGATAAAAATGAAGTCAATCTTCAAGTTCCAACAATGAACATTTCAGACCCAAAAAATTAACCCAAGTAAAATTCAGTCTCAGAGAAAATTCAGTCTCTAAAAAATTGAATCGTGCATTCAAGAAAATACAGAGAAGAAATTGAAGATGTCTGTCAGGATCGTCCCTCCTGGCGACACAAAATTCTCACGGGCATCCTCGAGAAGTCGTAAAGTCTAGAACGTAGACGTTGGGGCGGAGTGTTTTCAGCACTTCAGAAAAATCGAATCGCTCTTCAGAGCGACAACCTAAGGGCGAGAGGTCTACGTTGGTGGTATAATAATTCCACGATCGATCTATCCAGAAGCTCGTAAATTTCTGTGAACGCCGTTCGTCCTGGTTTCCTCGAGCACCGTCTAATTTCCCCTGGATTTCTGCAGTCCATCCTTGGCGTACAGTGTCTGGATAGTGTTTCTTTTGCGTAAGATCAGGCTTCCTTGGTTGGAACAGTCTAAAGAGGAACGGAGAGGGAACACCAGCTCTCAAAATAAGACATGTTTATCCGCCGATGCTGCTATTTTCGAAAGCGCGCAAGTCCCTCTCCTATACGTGTAAGTTTCTATCAAGAATCTCCCCTTGATTCCCTCCGATACTCCAAATCTCAAATTTCACCATTTTTCTGCCTTTCATTAATCATCTTAACCGCTTGGTTCTGCTCGCGCTCAAATTTTTGTGGCGATTAAAAAATATTTA